AAGCAAAAGCATGACGGGAGAGGAGGACAGAACCCTTGAAGCGGTCCTTCCACAGGTAGCACTGAACGACAGACTTGTCTCCCTTACTAAGTCAAGATGTCGTGCAATTCTATTTTAATTACAGTAATTATTTCTGAATTTTCATCCGCACACAGACAATAGTATTTGCATGTTTTGCCCATGCATTTCCCCTTTTTCAGCCACCCCACTTCATAAGTGAGCACCCTAATATGGCAACTTGCAGCAGAAAGGGTGATGTCCTAATGAACTAAGTGGGCAAGGCTGTTTCTGCTACAAGAAAGAACTGTAGCTGTTGGAGCAATTTACATGTAGCAAAACCAAAGAGAGTCCATGCGAGGTGCCAAGTGGGGTGTGCTCATTACATGAAGATGAGGTAGAAAGTGAGAAGAAGCCAGTGTAGTCCTGACTGGTAGAAGAGTCCCAAATCCTTACACTATGAAGCAGAAGATGGCAAACCAGAATGATAAACATGTTGGACAGGACGCCAGTTAATGGAAATAATATTTATGGCTGGTAGTAGCTATGCTAACGAGCAATTACAACTATGCACTGACATGCAGCTGTACTGTAGGTAGCAAGTTCTGTGTGTGGCCTTGGTTTGCAGCACTCTTGGTGTTAGTGCTGGAACAGCAAGCGCAGCGGATCTTAAGCAAGGCTGGCATAATTACAGCAGGAGGGCCCCCGAGTCTGGCGGCGTGGCTTGCAGCTCCACTCACCACCACTGCTACCATCAGCAGGCAACCTGCCTGAGGGAAAGCAAGAGGGCCGCTGAGCGCCAGCTCCTTGGAAGGGCTGCCTGTTCCCCTTTCTCCTAACCCTAAATCTTAAGCCAGGCCACTGCTTCCGAGAGCAATGGCACCATAATGCGCAAGTCTATTCTACAAGGCTGTGATTCACAGTTCATGTGAAACTAAATGGCTCAGTTTAGTTCTAAGGACAAGTACTACACACTAGAAGTATCCAGAGGTAAGAAATAAAGAGAAGAGAGCGTGCATGTATCTTCAGACAGCAATTGCTGTTGAAGGGAGATTATTGCATAAGTAACAGGCAGTATAGTTAACCTGAAAGTACTTTTTCCACAAGCAACAATAATGCGTATTTGGGGTAGCAAAGATCTATTTGTTTCACTTTGGTTTGTATTTACACAAACCTTAGTTGTTCTGTGAGTCAGCATATCTTTCCTAGTACAGATAACTAGAAAATTAAGTCATCCCTGTAGAAAGTCTCTCTTGATTTCAAACATTTTAACTGCCTAGTTCTGTGTACATGGGTTCTTCTCCCTTCTGCATTGAATAAATGAAAATAATTTCAAATACATGTATGCACCGACAGTTCAATACAATAGATGGACTTTCATTAAGTTAGGAATCTTGAGCATCTTCAGTGTTTATCTAGTGTGGTTTTCAGACAATCTCCATTGCAGGAGACATGCACCTTCCTAAGGCAACAAAATCCCACTGGCTCTTTGTTCCTGCAGTTCCGTAAGAATGCTGAAATCTTAAACTCTATAGCTCTTGTCATGCCTTAGGGACAAGAGGTACTGAATAAATCTGAATAAATGTTCCCCTTTGAAGTATTCCATTATACAGACAGCTTTCTGCACAATCTCACCCCACTTGTAATCTTTTTTCTGCACTAAGCTTTTCCCTCCACCTTCACTTTGGGATTTGAAACTGGTTATGATCTACTGATATTCACTGGCCATTTTATATTATAGGCACACTGAAATATTCTGAGGCCTAATCCATGCCCTGAAGAGAGTTATTTTTATTTCCTCCGTGTTGGAGATGATGTTTTTATTAGCACTTGCTCACAAGTCATTTTTCTTTTTTTTATATAGTGTCACATTGCTGACACATGCATTGTTCATCATCCATTTTCATAAACATTAGATCATAGCCAGCAACATTACTAGCACATGACTGTTCGGAATGACCTATGAGGTACTTGTGTTCCTCGTTCACCTTTTAATTGTTCTTTTGTGATTTTGCATCTTTCTTCAACTCTGTTCCATTAGGCTTCATTTTTAAAATGTGAGTGGACTTCTGTTTGTGTAATCACATTTCCCCTTCGTTTTCTCCCCCTCCCTGAACTGCCCTGCAACCTCTGCCCCATCAGGTCCCTCATTCTCTGGAGCAGATCCGGAGCTGCATGGAGGGAACTGTGGGGAAATGGCATCAATTCCACCAGCACTATCTTTTCCATTGTTGCACAGGTACCATTGGATAGATCCCTATTTTGTGCATTTACAATTCAGTACACTATATATACTAGATGCACCTAACAGAGCATTTTCCCACATGTGGTTGCCACCTGGTTTGTACTATCATTAGATTATTATGAGAAGCAGAGAATAAAATGGTATCTTGTCAACCTTTCGTGCTGAAACTTTGAACTTTCAGGCTTCACTGCAATTTTATTTGGGCAAAAACACCTGAAGCAAAATAGCTTCACAACCAACTTGTTTGGGTTCATTGGCATATCAAATGGCACTGACAGAAAGGGCAAATCTGAAGAAAACAGTCCATTCCATTTCTCTTCAGATGGGCTTCTTCAGTGCATGTGTATAATAAATGCTGTCAGGCACTGGATCAGTGACCTCTAGACATAAAGTCAGAAATCTTTAAAGCCCAAACTATAAAATCAATGGCTTGTCACCCAAATGAGATTTGCTCAGAGATGACTCTGTGAAGCTTATTTGGCCATTACTATTTGGGGCAATTCAAAGCAATCCGTTTTTCTTCCCACCTTGTTCAGGTTTACTGCCTCCAAAAGTTCTAGGTCGTATTTAGAATTAGCTATGTTTCTGTATTTTACACCCACATAAAACCATGGGGTTTATCATAAAAACACCGGCTTCTTGGTATGTTAAGAAAGAGACTTGTCAGGAAAGAAAAATGGTATATTCATTTTGTAATGTTGCCTTAATTTTCATATTCACCAAATGGTTAGTATTCAACGTTCTTAAATATTTAAATAGTTGTAAGTAGTTTGTTTCTTGTTATTGTTTGCCTGTATGAAAACTTAGCAGCTTCCATTATGCAGTCAGCCTTATTGATACTGAACTTAAATTCTATTTTTGTGTTCATGAATTTTCTACTTATCTATTTATTTCGTATATCTAACTGTCAATAATCTCTTGGTAGGCTAGAGTTAGCTCAGGCCTTTTTAGCTTCATTCCATTTTAACAAATTGCTAGCAAGTGCCCTTTCCTCTTTTCCTGTTAATATAATAAAGCACACCAGTCCCATGTTCTTCAAGCCGGGACTGAAATCCCATGGCTGAATATAATATCCACAAATACCATCTAAATTTTATCCATGAAATATCCCACATTTATAGTAAAAATGGTCCTTCAAGCACGCCAGAGCAAGTCACATTCTGGGATGAGTATGATGAACCTGTAAGCGGGTGGCATTTATTGAATGATGTATTTTGAATGTTTATGGAACCACACTTCCAATTTGCTGTGTACGTATTCAGTAGATAGAGAACTTTTCCACACTCCACAGGTTGAAAAGGATGGAAATGTGTTCAAGCAAATTTGCCTTTGGTTTGCTATATAATATACCTTAATATAAGACATTCCAAATGATTTGACTATCTCATGATATATATGTGCTTTTTAAAAGTTTAAACTAATTTTAGTATCTGAATTAATTGATACTAATAGCTGATAGTTCTTTGTTGAATTATATGATCATCTGTGATATATTATATATATTATAAAGAATAGAAAAGTTTTTATTTTTATTTTTTATAGTCAACACTTATGTTAAACATACTTAAGGTGCACTTCTGTGCATACTTAGAAGAAAACCCCTAAAACTCCCTGCATTCACTTGTTCCTCCTCTTATTGGTATTTTAATTATTAAGGGTGCAATGGATATTAATGTTATTATAGGGGATAATCTGATACTTTTATTTTATTTATATTGATTTCTGAACAACTCTGGTATCAGACAATTATTTCATATGAGGTGTTTCTAAAGTTTTTCTAGTAGTAACAATAAATCAATTGTTGACTATTAACACATTTTAAAAATATTTAAACAGAATATACATTATAGAACGTATGTATACATACAGAATATATATAGCATTCAAACTTCCTCAACCATTTGATCAGTCAGTAATCTATAATTCAGAAGGAAATTCATTGAGTTGTTGCTATTGCATCCTTTTAGTTATAGTCTTTCAAGGCACCAGCTATGAACATTTTTCTTAGTGCCCTGAGTCTCCTAAGTATGTGTGTAGTTGCAGATTGGTTTGTTATTTTTCTGTGATTTTACATTGTAAGGGGCTGGACAAGGGGAAGTATGTGGATGGATTGGATTTGGGAAGATTCGCAATTAATTGGAGGTTTGCCATAATCTAGAAGGAAAATTAACAGGGAAGGATGTAATTAATTGAAGGGTTAGACTTGTGGCACAATTGTGGTCTAGACTGTACCGATCTATAATTACTAGATATTATGTGTGGATGGTATTGAGTGCTGGGAGAGGACTTGCAAGTACATAAATGAAACAGCTGGATGGCATAGAGGGGCAGAATTGCGCGTGTGTGTAATCTTGGACAATACTTGTCTTACTATGTACATAAGTAGCAGTTCTTGGCTATAGTTTGCAGCTCAATCTGCATATAGTATAATCGGTCCAGAAAATCCTGTTGGCACCCCATAGCTCAGAGAAAGCCCTGACAGCGAGAAGGAAAGGGGGTTTTAATTTCCTTGAAACCAAACTACATTTATTTCTGTATATATGAATTAGCATACATAAGTGTGTGCTTTGTGGGCCTGTGCCTAGTTGTAACATCTTACAGCTGCCCTAAACAGGTAGGACGCATGCGTGTGGGAGAGAGTCCCATCTGGAGATGGACGTATGAGTAGTATAAAGCTATGGATGGGGTAGGACTGTCTCTCACACTAACTAGCTAAAGTGTAGAAACATTAATGGTTTCTCTTCTCTTCTCTGAACAGTTTGAAAATGAAATTATTTTAAAATTGGACCATGAAGTGGAAGGAGGACGTGGAGATGAACAGTACCTGCATTTGTTTGAATCAATGTAAGTTTAACAATGGAATAGAGTCTTAATTATAGTGGTAAAGAATTAGGTACTTTAAAGTAGAATGTTTGTTTTAAAGTGCAAATGATCAAACTTTAAAAATTGTTATAATTCAGTCCTACTTCTGCCTGTGGCTCCCATCGGTCCTCCAGGATATGGTAATCATGCCCATATTTGCTTAGCTTCAGTAACACTACAGCACTTCTCATGCCTAGAAAATGCCAGGGAAATGTTTTGAGGCTGGATGTGGGCCATTTCTTAAGGTGCCTTCAGAAACAGGGGAATGGAACTTGTACTTCCTCCCAGACCACGTTTTGGCTTACGTAGTGGTGACATTTATGCATAATCAAATAAAGGGAAGTGACGAGAACTTCTCTTTGCTCTCTGATTAAGCAGCATCTTGCAAAGGTACTCAAAGGTGGCATTGGGGTTGAAAAATGCTGCAGCTCTAAAGTATTCAAATTTAGGGTGTTCTATTTCCCCACTGATGGGAGCCCTGAACACAGAAACAGAGCATAAGGTACATGATGACATGGAACATGTTGGCATGAAGGACTGGGACAGAGTCACCAGTTTTGCGTGATAAATGCTGTTATTGCTGGTGTGTTCATACTGGCAGAAACCACTGCAGGGATTGGGATAGTTGCCATTTCCCTTGCAGGTGGCTGACAGAGCAGGACCATAACACATTTGCATGTTGATCATCTGCAAAAATATTACAGTGGCCAGAGAAAATCAATGTTGGCAGGTACACAAGTGAACTTCAATTTGTCCTTGCACAGAAACTTGGCATCCGGAAGCTGATCAGTTTTGTATGTTTAAATGGAGACATGAGGGAAAATGGCCAGCGTTTTAACATTTTTGAGCCATTGACATGAAAACATAAGAGGAACCCTGCTGGATCCAGCCAAAGGCCAGACTGTTTCAGCATCTTGTTTCTCACAATAGCCAAGCAGTTGCTCATGGGTGGCCTACCAGGAGGACATGAGAGCAGTAGCCTTTTCCTGCTGTTCTCCCTTGGGATTGGTATGCAGGGGCCTGCTGGCTCAGATTCTGTATGTGATAAACAGCCAGCAGGATGAGTTGCCCTTCACAGGTGTTAGAATTCATCCAATCCCCCTTTAAACTTGAGTAAGCCAGCAGCCATCCCCACATCAAGCAAAAGCAAATTGCTAGGACATTGCTGTGAAAGAGTAGTGCACTTCTTTGTCATTCTGAAGCTTGCACCATGCGGCTTCACAGGGTGGCCTGGCACTGAGAGCATCTACTGCAGCAATTGGACTACGAGGGCTGAAGAGTGGTCGCCAGAGATCATACTGTTAATAAATGTGACCATTCCGTCCTTTTCTTAGGACGTGTGGATGGCACTGTTTCTAGCCTGGGTGTGAGCAGGATTTAAGAAGAAATAAAATCATGGCGCCTTCATCATTTCAGCTTTGTTACCTACTTTGCAATTCTAAGCAGTTTGGGAAATTGATACTTCCTTCTCTTCCTTCCAGGAAAATGTTATATTCTTTTTATCTAAGGGAACTGTTGCTCTCAAAAGCAAAGCTTCAGCATAGAAATAATGATGTGTGAAATGTGTCAAGCAGCCACAAATCCTGGTTTGTTGCTGTGGACTACTTCTATGCCTTCAAATTCTAGTCCTAAGAAACCAGGATCTCATTTCAGAATACATTATTGCTTTCTGTTTTACAAAAAACTGGATTAATTGTCACTGTTTGTTTAAAGCTGGATTCAAACTGGCCATTCCATGGATGGATGGTCTCTTTCCATTCACGAAATGCACCAAAATCCAGTAAAAACTCAGTGCTGGAAAATGAGTGAAGAGATTATCTTCACTGATTCCACATTTACCCTCCAGAATCACTCGTACTGCTCCAGAAGATCTACTGGCCCTAGCTAGTCCTAGATTAACCCCATAGACAAAATTTGGGCACAGGAGGCTTCATGGAGAAGGGGAATTCATGAATGTTGCTTCCACATCCCCTTCTTCCAGTGCATCAAGGCCTTTGCTAATAACGCTCCAGTGCTTTGAACTTGATGCTTAAAGGATGTACTGCATCAGGAATCAAATTTGTGGAGAGCTCATATGGGAAGAATCAATAAATACATGCAGAAAAGTGTGCAGCCATTTGGATGCCCTGATCACAGGCTTATTAAAAGCTTCATACAACATTCTGGCAAAATGATACATTTTTTGAAAATAATGGACACATGCAGAGTACCCCAGAAATGGGAAGACAAAGAACCCTCACAGTAGCCCTTTTCAGAAGCAGACATTTTGGGCAAGAGATAAAACACGTCCTGTGAAATACAAGCTTGGAACATATAAAAGGATGATGATCTGCACTTTCAAAATTATAGTGTTTCCTAGAAAATGCCACAGAAAGCATTGCAATATTTTATCCTGACACTTCACAGTGCTGCTCAATTGAATTGTTCTGAGATGGTGGAATCTAATAAAATTCCCTGTGTTGTAGATTCCCATCTATATATTTCTTTCTTTCTTTCTTTTTCCTGCCAGATTGGGAATAGCCAGAGCGAATAATTGGGGACATGACCCCTATTTTGCTCTGAAGTACTCCAGAAATACTGTGCCACCTGAAGTGAGCATTTCACATGGCGTGGATAATAAGTGGATTGCTTGTTTTTAAAGGAAGTGAGGTGCAACATATATTTAGTTAATTTTCTTAGGTCTGCTAGTTGTACAGTATCATACCCCATCCCAGAAAGCAGGACAGCTGGTAATATGTTAGACAGGAATCAAGCTATACTATTGTAAAAGGACCGTTTCAGATGTTTGGGAGCATAGTCAGCTCAGTCTACCAAGTGACTATACAACTCTTAGAACTTGGGAGATCCCTGGTCTGAAAATATTTTCATTGTCAAAATCCTCCACCTGCAAAACATGATTAAGACCAGCGTAAGAAGAATATTGCATCCCCATGGCTGCAGCTTATCCAACTGGAATACCAGCAAATGTGGAGGCACAATTTTAAAATGGTGTTGATTAAAAACAGTAGGTAGTAGTGCAAAATAAAACCACTGGAGATGAAACCTATCATCAAACCTATGATGAAATCTTAGGTAAAAAAAGATACAGCACAGCTTTGGAATTGTATCACTTCAGAATATAGGAAGAAGGTTATATGCAGGAGCATAGGTGGCTTTTGCTTACCACAAACCTCCCCACAGATGACTTAAGCTTTCAGAGGGCGTAGAAAAGTTTCTTACAGCTTTCAAGAACTTTTCTGGAGAAGAAGACTCAATATACTTAAAGGGAATAAATCAAAGCTCATGGAACCAAAATATATAATTATAAAATAGAGGTGGTCCTCAGGTAATGAATGTGTTCTATTCCTGAGAAAATGGAAATCCATCTTTAAGTTGAATTTTTAAGCAAGTTGGATCACATATAGTTGTCCCTCCACATTCATGGGGGTTCAGGGTGCAGGACCCCTTTGAAAGTGGAAAAAGTGTGAATATCTCTAGCCCCCACCAAGCCACCTACCCACACCAGCACCTCCTCTTTGCAGCAGGGAAACGCTGGAGAGATTTCCTTCTCTGGAAGGATGGGGCAGGAAGGCATGCTTTGGAGGCCTCTCTTTCTCCCCTTTCACTTCCTTTCTTTCTGGGGTGATACTGATTTTCCACAGAATTTTTTTTTACTATTAATAGGCTTTATGGCAGTTTGTTCATAAGTATGAATGGTTCGTAACTCAGGTGTTTGTAAATCAGGGACTGCCTGTAAAATTGTTAAAGGCCTTTGGCTTGCAAATATATTTTCGGTTTTTGGGGGTTTTTAAAGAAGAAACTGCAAGGTTATCTTCAATCAATATTCAGTAATGACCTTCCTAAACTTAATGGGCTGGATCCAGATCAAGCCATACTTAAAGTAGATGTACTGAACAAGGAGACTGAATTTAGTTATGGCTGACTTAAGTCCTGTTTATTCGGGGGGAGGGGGGGGGTCTACTCTACAGTAAAGATGGCTAAATCGGAATCTAAATCAGTACTAGACCCAGATAATGTCCTGAAAGTATGTGGAAAGGTTCTCTATCTGAAGGCCAGCAGATATTGTCCTGAATAGTGCCAGGATGGGAAAACACATAGGAAGCTTTTTATAAACCATCTTCAGCTATTGAAGCAAGAACAGGGTGCAAGTGAATAAAAAAGTATCATGCATAAATTTCCAGTCCCATGATGGAAGTCACTTATCACATTCCTCATGGAAAGCCAATGCATTAGGATGAAGGTTAACTTCCCCTACAGAAGTGGAATTATGCCCATATTAAAACATAAGATGGCAATATCTAATGAAAGCATAAAATATTGCATTTGTCCCCTAAAGAATACCAATAAATTACAAAATATCTTTGCATATGTAAAAGATACTAACATATTGCAAAATAGCTTTACATTTAAATGAAGATTGCTAATGAAGCCTAGGGAAATCAAGAATCGTACATAATACAACAAAGCAACAATTCATGACAGGCAGGGTAATTGCGTTTTAAGGTTGTGGAATGGAACTGAGCATTTGCTAACTTCTTGTCATTATTTTCCAGGGCAATATCCTTCATAATTTCCATAATTTATCAGACTTAAAACCCTTAATGGAATTGGTTAGTTACTGCTGTAATCACGTAAAAGCTAAATTGGAGAATAAGAAGGCACAATGCTTTTAAAGGATGTGACTAAAATGGTTCAGAAAGAAGGTTCACTTTGTCAGTGGACAAGAATCTACAACCTCTATTACAGTGAAACCAAAAATATTCAGAAAATACAGTCAGAGAGTAAAATAATGTTTTATTTATTTATAATGAACGTTTCTATAAAGTCATGTAGGTGGTGTTATACTCAAAGTGCCAAGCCTGAAAACAATCTTGTCATAAGGAAGAAACTTGTGTCTCCTTTCGTGACATTTCTGCTTTTTATGGTTTAAACTAGTGCCAAACCCCATTTTGAGGGTCCATTTGCCCACTTACAAAAATGAGGAGGTATATTTGGTGCCTTTTAGGCTGTGGTCAGGATAAACTTTTGAGACATTTTCATGTGTGGGACACTGGGCTTATTAGGATGAGGTGGTTGTTCGTAGATTTCTTTTTTCTTTAACACTTTGAAAAAGTTTCCTTGGCTGTGTTCTTCATTGGAGAGACTCCCACTAGTTCCTTTTCTTGTTCCAAATCAGGGAAAGGAGCCAGCTGTGTTGTTGAAGTCCTCCATGCCATGTTTTACAAATGAGTACTGAACTAAGGGTACCCCAGTTTGTACTGAGTCCACAGCACATGGAGAAGATTAGTCCTAAAAATTGGCTTTTATATTGCTTTTAACTTAGACCAGCAACCTCAGGTCTGAGTTTTGGTAGACCTTTCAAAACTCAGACCAGTAGTAACATGTATGTGTATGTAAAACACTAGTATTCCAAAGAGATAATAATATCCTTTCTGTGCAGATAGTTCCTTCATTCCCAAAACTAGAGATAATTCCAAACATGTAGTTGCACAATATTATTCATTGATTCCCTCTCTTCATCACTTCTCTTTCCTTATTAAGTTCTGTTTCTCCCCACAGACTCATTGAGTGTTCCTCAAATTATGCTATGATTGCCAGAGCAGTTGAAACATTTGTGAACCTAGTAAAAGGTCTTTTAGAAAAACTACTGGATTACCGGGCTGTGATGAACGATGAAAGCAAGGACAATCGCATGAGCTGCACTGTAAATTTATTGGTATGTGGTATGCTTGGGGCCTGTGTGAAGCATTATTTTAGATGGGAAATCAAGAAATCAGCACAAAAGAGGGGTAGATAAATGTTTTGAAGGTACAAGTAATTTACAAAGTGTGAAATCAGTGGATCTGTTTTAAAGATAGATAATAGTAACAATGAAAGGAAGTGTTCATGGTAGAGAAGAGAAACTACATTTCATCATATTATAATTGAACTAGAAGGGAAAGATAAGCCATCTAGTCCATATTTTGTGATATGAAATGGAAATATCCATCAACAAACCCCAAAGAGATTGCACAGAACATTCCTAAATAAGCCGTGGTGCCAAAGTTAAGGGAGCAGAAAACCAATATGCTTAACATTAATCAAAAGATGTAACATTTGCTAGCACTTTCTAAATGTTCCAATGGCTTCCCATAAATTTTATCAGTTTACAATGGGCTTGTAAAGCATGTCAGGAAAATTGTCTTTATATTGTGGATGGGAGCTGAACCTGAGAGGATAGGAATATACATGACTGAAGTAAAAAAATAAAAATGTACCTGGTATTTCCTAGCTCACAGCTTATATTTTTAAACATAACCTATGTCATCTTTTGCTGGTGCAGAGAGACAGAAGAGAGCACATTGTTCAAGGTGACCTAAATAGGTACAACCAGCCACATCTTACAGGGCAGGTCAGTCTGTCCTTCCCTGCTCTGGCCACTCTGACTAAACCAACTTATCTGCCATATTTTCTGCTGCCAAGATGTCATTTGTAACTGATGCATTTAACTGGAAATAGTAACTTTTATATATCAGGAAGAACATACACACTGGATGGCATCTAGCTCTGGCCATCCATGAGCAGAATGGAAATGGCTGGAAGTAAAGTTTTCCTCCCAGCCTGGAGGAGAATGAGGGGAAATTCCATCATACCGTATTTATTTATTGTTTATTGTTGTAAGCTGCCCCGAGGCTTCAGCAAATGGGGTGGCATAGAAGCTTACTAAATAAATACATACATACATACATACCGCAGTGGATTTACCCAGCATGAATGCTGCATGCATGTTACATAAATAAAACCCCTACCATGGCAAAAGCCTTTCATTAACAGTTGCTGTCATGGAATTCATGTTAAACTCTTTCAAAATCAAGAGGACTGCACTGAGCTAATAAATTAGGACCCCAGTCTGTGATAGGACATTGCCAATAATGTACTGTATGGACACTAATTTCAGGGATGGGAGCAGTAAATAGATAATACATATTCATATTAGTCCTAGTGAAAGTTTTCAAATGTTAGTGTTAAAATAGGACACAATACCAAAGTGATTTCCTGAAGGAAGCATTTTATATATTTAAAGAACTTTTCAGAAAGAAACTATCCAAAATTAGGTTTTTGTGTGCTAAGATGATCCAATTTTATTCATTTTCCCTCCTTAGAATTTCTACAAGGAGATTAATCGTGAAGAGATGTACATAAGGTAAGGTAATTGCTCCTCTGATTTTGTTGTTGGAGACAGCAACATCGCCTTCCCGTACAATCTGCAGGATGTTATATAAAATTGTACTAAACATCTGATTGTACTATACTAAGCCATTCACTTCACGTTTGTAATATTCCAAGGCTCAGCCAGACCTATAAAAATACTGCTTGAGCCTTCTGCAACTTGACTACATCATACATATTCATTAGTCGTGTTTATCCCCCTAGTATTTCATTTGAGTGAACTGATCAGCTGTCCGGCTTACTCAGTTTCAAAGAAGGGGCTCTGCGATTCGAAGCCAAGTGGATGATACACTTCAGAGTGATAGATGGAGTCCATTTTGAATGCTTTGCATTGAAACAAATCTGTAACTGAAGAACTGCTTTGAAAAACGTGCAGTAAATGCAATGTATTACATAGATAGGGCTACAATTGGAATGAGAAGTCAAACATTTCTTTGCACAAGGTACTTTCTGCTGCTTTTCCTCTAATGCATAGAAATGAAGCACCATTCAGCATGAAGATAGTCGTGTTAAAACCGTGACACCATTTAACTATTTGAAGGGATTCATAGGCAAAAGTTCACATCTTTAAACTACTGGGCATATGCAATTTTTTTCTCTCTTCAACTTGTATGCAGCTATTCAGTTGGTAAAGTGTACCAACCTCTGTCCTTCAATCTAGTGCTTTAGGAAAGCCAGATTTCTCTAGATGGAGTGTGCCCAGAGTGTGAATGTGGAGGAGTGCTAGGTTGCAATTTGGCTGTGCTTTTAAATTTGATGTCCAGTCCTACTCTTCCCTTTGGAACAGTAAAAACCGAAAAACAAAGACTGGGGTTTTGCTTTTAAAAACATTCAGCAGTACTCTAAATCTATCCTCTTTTTAAAATTTGAAACTCCTTTGCCTTTTTCTAAAACATATCTGTCTTTGTATGTGTACATATTTTATTTATGGAAGGGTATGCATTTCTGGCAAACCTTTGGCTTCTCTGTGGATTTGTGTAGTGTCAACTGCAGTGATATATATTTAGCATTTAGTTAGCCACAGGAAAGATTGAGCATGACATTTTCTGCCTAGACAGAACGTGGTGAGAGTGGAAAACTAGAGACCATGACCATCCAGTCTCTCATGAGGCAACGAGTCAGTGCACGTGGATAGCCTCTAACCCTCTCATGATGCTCTCATTTGTTTCGGGGCTCCCTGGTTTCATGGTTTCATGCTTTCCTTCATAATCATGAAACTATAAACTGTACTTTCTTATTGGTAGCACTATGTTTTGCAGAAAGAGAGAATGGAAATTATCCTAAAACCGGTTCCATTCTCAGGTCCTTTTAATCTGAACTATGTTTTGAGACCTAATGGGATTGAGTTCTGAATGAAGAAGTCAATTCTTTATGATCCCAGAGTGACTGTGGCAGGACAGCTTTGCTTTTGTATTCTCACCCTTCGCTTCCTTCCTTTTATTAACAGGTACTTGTATAAACTTCGGGATCTCCATCTAGACTGTGAGAACTACACGGAGGCAGCGTATACCCTTCTGCTGCATGCCTCACTTCTGAAAGTAAGCCGCTGCTTCTCAGCTGGTGGGCCTACAGGCGGTGGACTATTAAGGCAAGGGGGAAGCTGTCTCCCACTGAGGGTTTGGTTTGTCTCTGCAGTGCTACTAACAGTGGACTCAGGTGCTGAGTGTTGATGAATATATAACAAAACAGCTACTGAAGGAGGTGTCAGCATGCTTGGGGAAAGCCCAAACAGGCAAAAGTAGAAATAAATATTTAATTTAAAAACCCCACAGGGGCAGGAACAAAATAGCCCAGGGAGAACTGAGCCACTCAGAATTCTAAATGTGTGTTGGGGGTTGTGATGGTGGTGGTGGAAATGGAGGAGACTGGAAAATCATGATGGAGAGCACAAATGGAATGGAGTATCCTGGAAGAAGGTATAACTGGCTGGCTGGCTGGAACACCCACATGTTAGTCTTGTTCCTTAGCAGATAGGTCAAATAGTTTGCAGAAGTTCAGCACAGCTTTAATATTTCACTCACACCAGTAATTCGCACTGCAAGTTGTATAGCAATCAAATAGCCAATTTAATTATTTTGAAGTCAGAGGCTTCAGTAGTGAGGGAAAGCTGATGCTAATCTTAATCTTTAGAGGTTTAGTAGGACCTGGGTGGTGATGGTGGTAGAAATTTCTGTTGAAACCACTCTGTCTTACTTTGATCTTACAAAACATGCTGCCTCGTTAACCTATCAACTAGAATTTAAGTTTCTGATGTCTGTAGAACTGCTGACATTTGCAGCTTCCCTCAGGGGTAATTACACATTTTGTGTACGTGCACATATTAAAACCTTAGTTGTTAAAGAGAAAAAGGAAAGGGAAAGCAGCTTCTGTGGGAGCAATTGAGTGTGGAAGAGTGCTGGGGAGGGGTGCTTACCCCCAATCACCCACCCACCATCTATTTGCACAGTCCCAGTTTTGCCCCAAGAGTGTATTTCCTCCCTGTAGGATCCAATCAGTTCAGCTGGTTCAAATTTAAGAACAAAAAGGTAGATGAGACTCAGTGATGTAATGAAGTGTAGCCGAACCCATTGTAGTCACAAGAAGCTACCCTTATTCAGGGAACTCAAGGACAAATTACATGTTAAAATGGATTCAGAGTGTACATGGGTGGGGTTGTTTTTTACACTTAAATGCACACTTGGAGTAGTTGGGCAAGGATTCAAGCCCCTCGTGTGCATTTTAAAGGGAAAGAGTCATTTTTAACTTATCTTTTATGTCAACTCTGTCAAACCCCAAATAGGTACTAAATCTGTTGTACCATTCCAAGACCAAAAGAAAATGCAATCATCTATTTATTTGTTGATATAATATTCCATATTTTCTTCTCAGTGGTCTGATGAACAGTGCACTCCTCAAGTCATGCAAACAGAATTTCAGAGTTCACAGACACATCGGCACCTTAAAGAACATCTATATGAGATGATAATAGAGTACTTTGACAAGGGAAAGGTAACTTGTTTATTTTTTAACTTCAGCTGAGGTTTTCAGTTTACTCTGCAATTTAAGCCTTGTTGATATTAAATGGGAAACAAAAGTCATACATTTTTAGAAAGTGTACATACATAATACATATTATTTACATTTATCTATTAAATTTTTATAAACAGTTCTTTAGTAGACACTCTCAGAGCAATGTACAGTGATATGTACATATGATAATTAATCAAAAAAGTTTAGTTTTTTCATTTATTGTAAATTCTATTGCTTGTAGTCTTCCTAAAGGTACAGTATTGCATTCCTCCATGAATTTTCATGACAAACCTGTTACCGTTACCATCACCATCACATTGCATTTATATTCTACCTTTTTCTTGTGAAGAATCCAAGATGGCTCACATAGATCCATTTTATCCTCACAACAACTGGGCTAAGACTGAGTGACTGGCCCAGAGTCACCAAGTGAGCTTCATGGACAACTGGGGACTATAACCTGGACCTCCCAGGTCTCCAGCCCAACATTCTAACCAGCACACCATGCTGACCACATAACACGACTGATTGTGAATTTTCCATCAGCAAGGCATTCGGGCAAAATGATCCATAAATTGTGTGTTGGAGTTGACCAGCATGTTCATTTTTGTGTGGCTCTGCAAAAGCCATGTAGGATTTTGAGCTCAATGGATTTTGAGCAATTTTCATCTGTAAAGAACAGAAGTTTGCCTTTTTTTAGCATTAGGCTAATATCACTGGAAAACTTAACATCTGCTTTTCAGGCACGTGTTTATTGCCTCAGTAGGCAATAGTCATTCTCCACTCCACTACTGATATCTTCCATTTAGCTGTGGCAGTAGTTTAAACAGCAATTTGGTGATAGCCCTTGTGGAACTTTACTTCTTGGAATGCTTTGTTTATGGAATAATGACAGGAAATGTGGCACAGATGGGAAGAAAATCTGTGCATATGGTATAGATAGCCACCAGTCACTATCATGTGGTGAAGGGAAAGTTAAACTCTGTGCAGGTGTTTCTGGGAAAACTGTCATAGGTGTGAAATATTCTTGACTAAAAGGGCCTTTAATGTGAGGGTATATATGCATCAGTATGAATGACAGCTTTAGTGTAGACTTGATTCACAGCATTTAGCTCAGGAGAAATAAGCAGCAGTCTGAGGAAATCTCATACTGTATAAATTATATGAGCATGAGTGAAAATATTACATGTTAAGGATAAAAATTTGGCCTGTTCTCATGAGATGTGTGTATACTTATGTACAACTCTCAAAGGTCACAAGTCTTGTCTTAGGGATAGATTTGCTGTGTATTTTGCTAAACTTTCTTTTAAAGCTCAGCCCTGGCCTGAAGTGCCTGATCCTGCCTAATCTAAACAGGGTTGGGCCAAGCTGAAATCTGAATGAGTCACTTGAGCCATCCATTGAGCAGGTGGTTGGACCTGCTAGGCCCCTTCCAACTGTATGGTTCTATGATTCCCTCTGCATGGCTAGACAGAAAAAGTCCTACAACTCCCAGCATGCCCAGGCAGCCATACTAGTTGGGGAATGCTGGGAACTACATGCACACACGCACATGTGTGCGCGCACACAGTTTCACCATGTAGGATTGTGCCCCTAATAGCTTATACATCATTATTTTGCACATTTGTCTCTTGAACTTCAGATCAGACTGTGAATCTTTCATACTTGCTCCCTGCAGTTCATATTTGTCTCAGATCATAGAGTTAATGTGGTGTTAGATATAGCATAATCAATAAATATTTCAAGGCTTAGTCATAATTGAAAGAAATATCTGTTTCCAGGAGGTTATGCTTTGTGATGATAACTGTGAATGTCCTGTTGTGTTGCAGATGTGGGAAGAAGCAATATCTTTATGCAAAGAACTGGCAGAGCAATACGAAATGGAAATTTTTGATTACGAACTCCTAAGCAGGAACCTAGTAAGATTGTGGCTTTCCTAAAATATTACAAATATGCAGTTGCTTGTAATGAACTTTTAAAAAACCTCTTTGTAATTTCAGATCATGATTTTGAATACAGTGCATGATGGGCATTCCAAAATATAATTAAATTCAGGTTAAATCACATGTGTGTAAGTCTTGCTAGATTACTCAGTTCTCGGCTCAACATGAGATGACCTTTCATGGTTGTTTCACAGGCAAAATAATCATCAATTGATGATTATGTGGTTGAGTGAGGACTGTGCATGTGTAAAACTTAGAATCTTTAACTTGCTTGGATAATCTTTTGTAAATAATAAACAGCTCAAGAAAAGCAAATCCGGGGTAAAACATATACATGTCTTTTGATTTCTTAACCAGTTTGGTAAGCATAAATCAAATGGAATTGAGAGAACCCACATTGTCATGAGGGAATGGAATGGTTCCAAATAGATTTCCTCTATTACTTGGGTTTGTTTGCAATATTATGTTTTTTCCCATGATAAATGTGGGACATCCCTTACCTGTATAAACTACAGGCAGGAATGAAGATGCTTTGACTTTGTGAAAGATATTTGTTTATGTCCTTTCAAATTAGAAGTGTTTGCATTTCAGCTCGGATAGCTATCAGCATCGTATTAGGTAGGTCTATTTGTATGCAGTTTAAATTGTTTAGGCTTATTACGCAGTACCATATTCCTTCTATACCCTTGATGGCCACTTTGCTCAATTACTTATGCTGCTTACCTTTGCAGCAAGCGGTATGCCTTAACACTGCATCCTAACATTTGCCAATTCCTTATTAAGATGTAAAAGGTGCGTACACGTCATCCCAGCCATCTAGCAAATTTTATCCATTAGAAACATCATTTTTTCCTTTCTTCTAACTTTGCTTTTGGATTAAATGAATAGCTTAATACTGTTTGGGAGTTAATAACCATTTCACCATTTGGTACTAATATGCAAATACTTGGGAAAGCTACACAAAATGTAATTGCATCTAATTTTTTGAAATACACAAATTTTTGTATATTGATGATATTAGAGGGGTTGTTCCATGTATTTACTTTCAGATTCAGCAAGCTAAATTGTATGAAAACATAATGAAAATTCTAAGGCCTAAACCAGACTACTTTGCTGTTGGATATTATGGCCAAGGCTTCCCCACATTCCTAAGGGTAAATGCATCTATTTTTCTACTATTCCTTTAATAACTGTTTGTACTACCCCAAAGAATGCCAATATTCTGCTAGTGAAAATGGAGTTATTTGCAAAGAGAGAGTGAGAGAGAGATTTATCTTCATTTTATTCTGCAAGGCGCAGGATTTTTCTCTTGCAGCTATCTAAAGTGTCATTTGTAACAACAGTGAGCATCACATTTTCAGAGAGAAATTTGATTTATTGTGTTCCCTTTTCCTGTAGCTTTCAAGGTTAGAAGAGGTTTATAGTGATCATAATGGAGTGATAAGAAAATATTTTGGATTCTTGCAAGACAGTCATAATTAAGGGATGGTTTATAGCTAGAATGATCCTAACAGACAACAAAAACAACAGTACGCATAGCCAAGAGCATGAGACAGGAATTCTTGTATCTAATGTATTTTCATTCTTTGTAATGTTTGTAGGTGAGATCTTATGTCTATTTACGCCTTGACTATCATTCTCTCAATAGTGTTTGCTTTTAGTAGTTTAATATGTGCAGAACTGGTGATATACACTAATAATTTTCCTTTCTTTACTTTTAATATATCCCAAGTTAATGAATAGAAGCTGGATGCCCTAGGGTTCAATCTAGCACACTAAGATGTATCCTCGTTACTTGTAGTTTTACCCTCACCAGTTTTATCAACCCAGAGCAAGAGTGGGGCACAACGGGGGTGGTGGCCTTGGTGCATACATCTCCTGATACTGTCCCTTTGGATAACACTGAGGCCATGTTGCAAGCCAATCTCTTCCCTTTCCCAGGCTAGTCCTTCTACATAACTAGCTGGTATGCATGGGTGCCATGGTGAAAGTACTGCATTTCCAGAAGACATTCACTGCTGTTAAGATGAAATCTGAAAGCAATATTCTATTGTGTAACGAAGATAATTTCAGGACCCTTAATTTCAGGACACAAATGCACACTCACATTTGTTGTCTCAGAAGTGTCTTTTACTGAAAGAAAACCTTTTTTGCAGAACAAAATTTTCATCTATCGTGGTAAAGAATATGAGCGGAGAGAAGATTTTCAAGCACAGCTGATGAGCCATTTTCCAAATGCTGAAAAAATGAATACTACTGCAGCCCCTGGAGAGAATATTAAAAACTCTGCTGGTCAATGTATCCTTAAGTATTAAGTTATTATAAACTCATGAAAGAAAAGCTAGCTAGTATCTACACACAAGTCCTCAGACAGAAATATAGACATTCCATGTTTTTTGGGACCTTGTTGTATTTTTAAGATATACTCATGAAAGCTTTGAAACTTACATGGGAAACTGTACAGACTGCAAATGTATGCAATATTTGCCAAGAAGTTAGTCTTGCCTGCAACTGTCTACGGACTTTGTATCCAGCTCAGTTTACTGTTTTGTAATGTGTGACACTGTATTTTGTCTAACATTTAACGTAGATTTTTTTTTGTACTAAAGGGCCAGCCCAGACTTCCGTGTATACTGGTTGTTGTTGTTAGTCGCGAAGTCGTGTCTGACCCATCACGACCCCATGGACAACATTCCTCCAGACCTTCCTGTCCTCCACCATCCCCTGGAGTCCACTCAAACTCACGCCAACTGCTTCAGTGACTCCATCTAGTCACCTCATCCTCTGCTGTCCCCTCCTTCTTTTGCCATCTATTGTGCCCAGCATTAGGCTCTTCTCCAAGGAGTCCTTCCTTCTCATTAGGTGGCCAAAGCATTTGAGTTTCATCTTCAGTATCTGGCCTTCTAAAGAGCAGTCAGGGTTGATCTCCTCTAGGACTGACACCTGCTTTAAAAATTACGTGTGTTTCCTTGCTTTTGGTAGCTTATATCCCCTTATTCCTGCTCCTCTTTTCCATTGACCATGTACCCATCACAGTCAGCCATATCCTTCCTCACCTTCCATTTCTATTATTTACCTATAAGAAAAGTTTGGGATGACCAGCACCACCCAAGCAAAACTTTAAAGTACCCAAGTTTTATCTGTTTATCAGCAGGGTTAGCGTTAGGGTTGGGGAGACAGAACTTTAACCATACCTTCCCAACAAAGAGAAGAATGTCAAATTAAATCTAAAGCAGCACCAAAGCAGTCAACTGGCCAAATCCCTTTAAATAGGCAACTTTCCAACAACTGTTAAATAGCTCTCAGATGTAGTCATGCTGCATCTAGAGGCTGCTTTAGCCTCTGAAATCACATGCCATTCAAATTTCACCCAGATATATTTTGGTGTTTTTAAAGACCAGCTCAGTGGCATCTGCTTGCATGTCAGAAAAATAAGTTTTAGAGATGCTATAAATGTAATTAATTTCCATCCTTTGATGCTATGCTGTGCTTTTCAAAGAATCAGAGGAACTTGCTTCTGGGACGCAGGTTGGGTATCCCTTCTGTTTCCATTGTTTTTGTTTTAGTCCAATAATTGAAAATAAGAAGAAACTATAGGTAAATGCTCACCTCATGGAGACTTTATTACTGTTTTTACTTGAAGAACCATCTAAAGCTGTTCTAATTATTTTGGGACTTTCACCTGTTTCATAGTGGCCCAAATACTAGTGCTGAGAAGAACTGATTTTCCATTTAGCATTTTATTTCCTCTCTTTTTGATGACTAGACTTCAGTATTTTGCTAAGTCTCTAAGTCTCTTTAGGAGGTTCAGAAAATCTCTTTAATAGACTCAAAAAGGATGTCTTCACCTGTTTCATTTTTGGGTTAATGATACAGCAAAACAACAAAAGTCAGTAAAATTTTAAGCTTCCATCTGCATCTCTGGAAATAAAAATGTATCATTTGCTTATAGTATGTGATCTAAAGCAGTAAATTTACTTTTTCTTCCTTTCCATGCAAATACACACATGGATCCCCTACCGCTCAAATATGCCCCTTATCCACAGCCATTCCCACTTCAGCACATCATCCTCCCACAAGATGTACCACATCCTTGCATCATTGTAGATTACCTTTTGGTTCACCACGGAAACTCAGGCCCAGTCTCTGGAGTGTCCTTTGTACAAGACCATCTCACCAAATTGTACCAGCTCCAGTCCCATTCTTGGGTGTCTAACAGAATGCCTTGTTGCTCATAATTCCACACTGTACCATGTAGTTAAATGGCATGGGGTGCTTTCAGATAGAAGGCTCCTAGTACTACCAGCTAAAGGGCATTGCGCAGCTATTCGATGCATCACATCCACCTTAAAGGAAATCATGGGGTTGGGTGGGGAAGAAGCCATAAGGATATATAGGAAGGTTACTGAAGGGAGATGGCAGTGTCCAGATACATGTTAAAATTCTGTGTTTAAGGCAGAAAGTCTTACCTGGAAGCACCTACAATAGTGATCAGGAAGGTAACTTGCACTTGGGGCATAGGAATAGCTGTCATAAGTACAGGTTAGGTGACAAGTGGCTGGAGAGCAGCACTTGTGAAAGGGACCTCGGGGTGCTGGTTGACTGCAGGCTAAACATGAGTCAGCAGTGTGATGCGGTGGTCAAGAGGGCGAATGCCACCCTTGGTTGCATAGCCAGAAGTGTGGCTTCTAGATCGAGAGAGGTATTACTACCACTCTACACGACTCTGGTGCGCCCGCAACTGGAGTATTGTGCTCAGTTTTGGGCCCCTCATTACAGGAAGGATATAGCCAGGCTGGAATCAGTGCAGAGTAGGGCCACAAGGATGGTGGCCAGATTGCAGGGAAAGCCATATGAGGCGAGACTGAGGGAACTGAGTCTCTTCAGCCTGGAGAAGAGGAGACTCAGAGGGAATATGTTGGCGACATACAGGTATGTGAGGGGATGTCACATGGAAGTGGGTAGAGACCTGTTCTCCCCTGCAGAGGAAGGCAGGACTCGCTCCAATGGAGCAAAACTCAGGGAGCCAAGTTTCCATTTGAATGCCAGGAAGCACTTCCTGACAGTTAGGACCCCGAGGGTGTGGAATGGGCTTCCACGAGAGGTCATTGAGGCCCCATCGGTGCGGGTGTTCAAAGATAGGCTGGACGTCCACTTGGCGGGCATGTCGTGAGCAGAGCCAACTGGTGCCGGAGGTCAGACTAGATGGCCCGGGAGGCACCTTCTGACTCGCTTTGTTTCTATGTTTCTATGTAGCCATGGTTCCATTCAAATGCTACTGCAAGCTCAGCTGAGATGTCACATTTCCTAATCTCAGATCTGGCCATCATAGCAAGCTGCAGTTAGAAAAGCAACACCTGAAAGAGGAATGACATACCTGTGCCTGAGAGGAGAGGCGGGTGCATGGAGGCCCACTGCACATTCTAAATTGAGCTTGTATCTAAGGGTTTTTTCCTTAAGGCCCTGACTGTCACAGTGCTAAATGCCTGTCATTACAACACAGTACATTTACTCCTCACTGCCTTATCTAATGCTCCTCAGCATGGGTAGAAATGCTGGAGATAGTCGGTCCAGAGAGAAATAAAAGAGTCACAATAAGGATAAGTTCCCTCATTGCCCGTGCATGTTTCTTTTGCCCCACTTCCAAACCTTGCAAGACTTATGAAGGCCTTAAACTGAGCTAGACCATTAGTCGCAATGGTCCAGTATTGCCTGGCATGATCGGCAGGAACCTTTCTGATAACCTGCTTCTTGGTTTTTTAAGGAGAGGTACTGGGGGTGGAATGTGGGATCTTCTGTGTGCACCTGGCCCTTTTCTTGAACTTATTTACCAGAGGTGAATGTGAGATGAACATAGAGTCCACGTGCAATAATACCTCTCTCGTGCACCTTTAAGTCTCTGAAAAAGCATATCCATCTCCGGCCTAAGTTTGGAGAGATTTTGACAGAAAGATAAACAGGTATGGCTTAAAGGCATACAAGGAACAGCTGTCAGATCATGGCTGGGTGAGCTGTGGGAAGCTTGACACAGTGGAAGATGTCACCGCTGTAGCCTGAATCAATAAAACAACCCAAAGTATATATTTGTGTACTGCTGTTGTTACCAGTATATCCCAGTCTCACAGGAATAATATAGTTTGTGAGCACAGTCAGACTTCTATGTCCACACAACTCGTAAAAGGTGCCATAAAACAGAAAACACTTGACAAATCACTCAGGAAAACAGGAAAAGCACGGTCAAGTTAAAAGAAGTGTCTGAGTAGTTTGGAAATACCTTGCTGAATAAGAACCTTTACCTGGTAACAAAGTTCCATCAGTAGATTAACTCTCTTCCCATAGAGCAATGAAGGTCATTAAGACCGCTCACCTGAAGGGCATACTGTGCAGGCTAACAGTGTGTGCCTCCCTGAACTGTGAAAAATAGAAGAAAATTCTCCCGTCTGCTGAAGAACTTGGGAGGGAAAGGTGTTCTCGGGACCTTTCTGGCTTGTAAAATGTGAACACCAGCTTTCTCTGTTTCCTGATCAAGTTGTAGTCCTGGTTGTATATTTCTTGCTTGCTATTATCTGAAGTGAAAAGCCATGCAACAGGGTGTTAAGATGCCATGTCTGAGCATTTCACTGTTTATTCAATAGGATGGCATTTTGGGCCATGATTTTAAAGACCATGATTGCATTGTAAAGTCTGCATTGGCAGTCTTAAAAACCTTAAGCCTTTCTTTTACAGGAATGTTTTATAGCAGCTTGTCAAAACATCATCTCTGCCTCCATTTCTCAGACCCAACACTCTGGCTAAAAGCACTTAAGAACCAAACTCTTTTTGTTCTAAATTCACCCTTCACCTTTCCTTTCTTCTGGGCTTCCTATTCTGGGAAAGAAGGCTGTTGTACAGACGCATGCTAGTCTTTTCAAAACCAGATAGGCTTTTCTTACCTGTAGGGTACAATTTTGAATGTCTATTTTAGTAACCATTTTAGTAAAATACAGCTATTTTAGGTTTGATTTAGACAGCAGGACAGCTGATGGGAGTCTTCCAACGGGCTTCCATCCAAGCATGGATCAGGTTCATACCATCTTAGCTCCAACAATGGCACAGAATCAAGTGATGTTTTGTCATTGATTGACTCTGTGGAAGCTTAAAATGTGACTCCTGAGTTTAACCAAGGGTCTGCTTTTCTGTCAAGGCTAGCAGCTGTTTGTGTTAGCCCTGAACTGGATCTCGTCTGCTTCTGAGCAGTGCCCTTCTGATGACTGACTTCTCTGGTCTGCGCATATGAAAGCCTTTCTTGACAAGAGCTTGGTCAGTTTCCCCAGTGTAAAAGTTTTGACAAGCAACAGGGAATCCTCAAGCAGCCTTCCCTAACCTGATGCCCTCCAGATGTTTTGAACTACAACTCCCATCACTATCATTGGTCATGTTGGCTGGATATGTTGGGAATTGTACTCAGTCCATCTGGAGGACATCAGGCTGAGGAAGACTGCTCTGGGTTTCACTGTTATTTGCCAGTTGTTTTTGCTTGTTTCCGGACTAGTAATCGTGTAACAGAGCAAGACAGAATATGACCTATAATTTATGTCCTTAACTCATGGGGTTTTAGACATCCAGTGCTTCACAGTTCAACCAGTTTTGGAAGAACATGCTCAGTTCAAAAATAAACCAGTGCCTGATCAAATAATCAAGTAAGTTTGATTTTTTCTTTTTAAAATGTTTATATGAACATGTTTGTGACTGATTTACAGGATTCTCAAAAGTGTTAGACTGTTTCCCTACCAGCTAGGATGCTGAAATTTGGTACAGCAAAGCAAACCATATTTGGAATGGAACGTCCTGATGAGGGATGGGACAAGATTCCCCAAGCTGCACCTTGATGTTTTGACTGCTTCACTTCTTTTCTTCTTAAGATTTGCTTTTAATTTGGACAGAAAAGTGTGCATTGTGATAAGTAGCTTTTGAAAGTGTGCATCCAGTTGCACATGTCCCCACATATACTAAAGCGTGAAAATGTGTACATTTTTAAAAAGGATCATTTTTTAAAGTAAGCATTTTTCTGAAGTACATATTTCATGAACATAAATGTCAGTTTAGAAATGTGTAGGCTTTTTCTGAAACTTGCTTCTGTTTCAATTTGGGGCTGTAAATGAGCAAATTCAGGTTAAAAATGAACAAAAATGAAATTCTTGTTCATCCTTGGTTGAGATACCAGAATTAATTTCCCCTCACATATTGGAATGGAAGAGCAGAGATTGGTAGTAATAGCTTGGAATGTAAAGCCGAAATAGGGCAATTGAACTATGCCGCAAAATTTCTTCACATATTTTCACAATCTTCAGATTAAAGGAAGGACTGTCATTGGCAGCCATGAACATCCCTTTGTTTGCAAAATGCATGTTAGATTTCCTGAGAATAATGAAGGAAGGATGGGAAATAAATGTAATGAATGAAAAGGTTATTTCTGCCATACTTTCAAGTATCATTGAGGACCATGACAGTATTCATAACCACCAGCAATCTCTTGCATAATGCAGATGTTGCTTATTCTACCCTACGCTAAAGGCTGAATCATATTCAGAAACTAGGACATCCATTCTTATGTTTTTCCCTTCTCTTGGTGAGCCTGCTATGTTTATTTCTGAAGGTGAAATGTCTTCACGTGTTTCAGTGTTATCTTATACTGTATGCATTATAATACATTTGAACTCCCATGGCTATTGCAGGCCCATTTTCAGTTTTCTTAGTGCCAAAACTACAACATTCATTTCTACTCCTCTGGAAAGATCAAACAGCTTTGTGATTGCCTGCCACACCAAGATCAGTAGAAATGTCTGTTTGATTGTCCTGCTTCTGTTCTATCTTCCTAGTGAAAGAAGCAAACAAAATTCCTGCGTGGATATATTATATAAATTAGGTGCTGCCATACATGGCATGTTCAACTAATCTGCAACTTATTTTAGTGTGGTCAAATTCCATGGGAAATTTAGCTCTAGCACTTGGGTAGCTTTCCCCAACCTAGTGTTATCCAGAACTGTAATTGCTATCATGCCCGGCCAGCCTGGGCAATGGAAGCTAAATGATAACAGAGAGATTAAAATTTTTTGAGTTATTTGTGGCTCAGAGTACTTTTCCCAAGTGTCAGCTACAGTCATTCCTTATTTGGCTGTTCTTAAAGTATGCCTTTATGATAATGATTTTGCAGGACAAATTTTCATCATTCTTGTTTTGGTCTTTATTTTGTATTACTGATTGGTCATGATACCAGCCCAGTATCCAAAAGCAGGAAGGACAGTTTACAAAATTTTTCATGGCTGCAGGAAGGCAAACTGAGGGTGGTATTGCAAATGAGAAGGGTAAAAGTTGAACCTTCTTGACCAAAAAAAAAAAAAAAAGTTGCTTGACTTTTGGTGGGTGTCTGTCACTTTTGATGGAGCTCATTTGAATATAGTATATCTTTGTAGTATAATTTTAGTATATCTTGATGGAAACAAGGTGGAGTAAGTCGGCCCTTTGTGTGTCTCTTCACCATAACCATGAGAATAAGGAACTTGCATCCCATTATTTTTATTAACTGCAGCTTGTGAATTTGTTTGAAACAAGCCAGCATCAGACCATGGGTTATGAGACTGGATTGCTCCAGTGCTTCATATTTAAAACAAGCCACAGTCTAGGGCTTAGTCAGAACACTAAACTGTAGTTAATCAAAGGCAGAGATGGAATCTCCTCCTTGGGACCACACTATAAGGGAGAGAGAGTACAGCTCACTGTGGCCTGTTGCCCACATGATAAATCTTAGTTATTGTGATTATCTGACCTATTCCATGGAGAAGTTACTCAAGATAATGCTAAAGGTAAAAGAAATACTAAAGGTAATCAGAATAGGGCATTGCCTGGATTGTACTAGGTGATAGAGAAGATTCAGCTTCCATGTTGCCAAGCATTCTCAGGTCACTGTGGACAGTGCACATGCATGTCAATAGAAAGTGTCAACTGGCGCTGCAAAACAAACCCTGACCCAATTTTTTGGTTTGGTTTTGTTTTGTTTTGTTTTTTCCCCTTGCTAATAATAGCCTTATCGCCTAGTATTTCCAGACAATAGGAGCATCTTGAGAATAGCATAGAGACCAAATGGGGAAGGCATATACTGGAGTTTTCTCAGCACTGGGGAATAAAGGGCTGTGTCTTTCCACCTAATTTCAATTTCTGTAGTGGTAAATCCTTCACTATCAGTGTCCTTTGTTTCACACTTCTTTCTGGGTTAAATACCTAGGAGATGCTATCCTTTAATGCCCTCTTTCTCCCTTCCTTCTTTCCTTCCTTCCTTCCTTCCTTCCTTCCTTCCTTTTTATGGCACCATGCTTTGATTATAGTCATGACACTATTGAATTAAGTCAGTCTCTGAAGGTTGGCCTAATCCTACCCCATCCCCTACAGAACGTCTCAGGACAGTTTACACTAAATATGAATCTGGCCACTCAACAGAAAATATCTTTAGTCCACCTTGGATGGACTAAATGTGTTCCTTGGATGTTAGCAGCAAAGAGGTTCCCCTTGCATAAGTAACTTTTAAATTCGGCAGCATAAGGTCTTTTTTCACAGCTGCATCCGATAGCTAGTGTAAAAACTCTGCCTTCAAGTCACACAAATTGCTGTCTTAATAAGGGACACCTTGAAAACATACACTGTACAAGTCTTGAATCTTGTCCTTCCATCTGTCATGTTGTCACTGCTCAAGTTTATTTTTTTACCGTCATTAAGGGAAAAACCTGTGCTGAACCACTGATGTAGCCTGTGCTGCCAAATACAGCTGATTGAAGAGAAAGATAATGCAAATGTAATGTAATAGCTGTCATCTATTAGACAGAACCTTTTGAACGTTTGTTTCCTTTAGTCGTTTGTGCTGCAAGGGAAAGAAGGCAAGCACTCTGTGGAGCTAAGTTAGGGGGAAAGTGTGCTAACAGTAAAGCCAACATCTGTGGGTGCGCTCTTGTAGGATGGTGGGAATTCTAATTGGACTGTGTCCTATTGCCCTGTGGTGATAACTAACTGGGAGGAAGTCCCATTGACCTCATTGGAACTCACTTCCAAGTAGATGTATGTATGGTGGCTCTCTTGTAATTAAACTGAGATAATGGTTCTTGAAGAGATTTCAAACAAATCCCATCACTTTGACTTCAGAAACACATAGTAGGAGTTTTCTCGTCATCATTTCTTTTATGGAGGGCATGTAATCTTGAAACACACCAGAAATACATGTCATTTTCTAATGCAGCAATCTTTATTTTTTCTTATTGTGTAGTGTATATACTCCATGCGTGTCTTCATATATTGTCTTCATATCATATATATGATTGTCTTCATGTATTTCTGTTTCTGTCTTTTGGGTGGCATAGTCTGCATGCACAGATTCAATCGCTCCTAGCTCAGGTTCAGTGCTTGCCAATGTCAGGTCTGGAAAGGAGTCTTGCAGAGAGAGCCCTTTGCCTTAGAGAGCTGTTATTAGTCAAAGCAGCCAAGAGCCAGTTGAATGAGCCAATAGTCCAGGGAGTTGTTATGCAAAAACACCCCTACCCCAGATCTAGCCATTCAGGATAGCTTCATGTGTGTTCAACTGTGTCCACCTTTCCCCCTTTTTCTTTCAGTGTCTGAATGAATAAATGAACGAATCACAAATGGCAGAATAGCCATTATCTGTCCATCCGTCCATCCCTCCATGTATTTTTTCCATGTCTATATGCCCAATTGCCAGTGTTTTCTAGGCAGCTCACAAAGCAATCCGTACAATACTTAATAAGATATAAATTTAAAATCTTACGTGTAAAACAGAATAAAACTAAAGCAAAATGCCAGCAGCAGCAAAAAGGCCTAAAATGCACAAGCCTGCTGCTACTGAAAAGGCCTTCTGATACTCATCTGAGCTTTTGAAATTCTGATGTTATTTCTAAGTCATTTCTGGAAATCAATGAAGAAACAAAATCTCCCTGTACATTTTCCCATCTGCCTTTTGTGTTGTGTTGACAAGTGGGTTAAATTCAAAAGTGGGTACATAATTACAGGTCAAAAATAGGTATAAAAATATCTAGTACAGAAAGAAAACAGCTGTTTGTATTGTTCTTTACTTCCAACGTGCACACAAAGAAGTAATATTTTTCAAGAGAACAAAAAAGCTAGTCTGTACAATAGAAAGAATCAAAATGACATTGAAACACTTTACAGCAATCTGCATGTGTTTTACACTCAAAATAATATTCCAACTTGATGTCTATCTTCTGAAGTAGTTGAACAGGCTTATATATCACATATAAATAATTGAAAAATGAAACAAGACTTTGTCTTCCATCTCCTGCCCCGATATGGCTACCATTTGATTGAGTTTTTTATAATCAGAATATGAACAATAACATTTTCTCACATGTGAAAGAAATGGAGACTTTACATAGAAAAAATTCTACAACTTTCCATTCTCCCTTGACATCCATTTTTCATTGGAGTATCCTGGGAATTGTAAGGCTTTTTTCTATCTAAGCTTGCATAGGATTATGCCCTTAAAGTAATAAAGAAGCCATTTTGTTCTTTTGGGGTAGGTACAAGTGTTTGTGGCCCCATAAAGGAAGGCACAGCCTTGAGCGGCTCATGTCTGTCATGGATAGACCATTCTGGAGGGCTTTCATTCATGCTTTATTCAGCTGCTCAGTCATGTCCGACCAGAAGAGATCCTATGGGCCAAATTTCACCACACTTTTCAATCCAGCTCCACCTTTTTCCACTGAACTATGCTCTGGCCTGCATCTTCTGTGATGGAGTCTTAACCACCTCCCTCTTTGGTGACCTGGTTTTCTCTTGCCGCTGAGCATCCCAAGCATTATCTCTTTTTCTAATGAACTTGATTGCATGGCATGGCCAAAATAAGTGAGTCTCAGTTATCTTGCCAACCAGGGATGGATCTGGTTTAATACGCTCTTGTTTGTCACCCCTGCTGTCCATGGAATTGCACAGGAGCCTCCGCCAACACCACAGCTCGAATGAGTCGATTTTCCTCTTGCAAAACTTCATACAGCTTTCATTCTTAGGGTCACCATAAGTTGGAGATGACTGGACAGCACAGAACAGCAAGACCTGCTTTGTGTTGGACATGAATGCGTATAAGGAATATTGCCGTTGTTGTGCAGTCCTCACATTCTTCTTAATATTGATGGGGCTGGTACTTTGGTATCTTTTCCCTGAGATTTTCCTAACCTTTGCAACCTGTAGTTGTTTTATGACTTTATGCTTTTGAGTGTCTAGATTGCTGCACTGTAAGTGGAATTGTCACAAGAGGTGATCTTGTTATGTCTGCAAAGTGGTTGAAATATCACACGTATCAGCAAGGAAAATGTCTGCTTCACTGGGTCATTTACAGCTCACCATAAAACACAGTGCTTTATGGGTGTCCATAAAAAAAAAAAAAAAAAACTAAGGGTGGGAGGATTGATAGACTGGTAACAGTAAGAAGCAGCATCTGCAGAGTGAGATTTCAGTAAATTGTTGTTCAGAATGGTTGGCTGGGCTTTCATACTCTTTTGACCTTTGAAAATAATGTTGGCTGCTACTGATTTTCATATAGTACTTTTAATGATTGGCACTATTTTGCTTTCCCCCTTTTTGAAAGACATTTTAACTTTGGGAACAATATCTTGGTCATGTGCTTGAAACAACAAGGCTTGCATATCAACTGCTCCTGTGAGTTAATATTTATTGTAGAGCTAGGAGCAATGTTGTACATTGTCTGTAGATCACAGAAGCTGTATGGTCCCAAACCAGGGATTAGTCTCCCTTCTGTGACTGCAGGCGGACAGTGGATGGTATCCTATTCAACAATATCCAACATAAATTAAATTGTGCTAGCATAATCAACCTTTGGCAAAAATCAGTGGCATTTACTAGTGCAACAGCTTTTCTGGGGAATCCCATTGTGCCAGCAAATGCTATTGGTGTTTTGCTGGCACAAAACACCAATATTGGTGTCATGTCAATGTAATTTATGTTAGTGGTAGTGTTAAACTCATACTACCCAATATTTTTAAAGGGATCTGGAAGTTGTTTGAGATATGCTTTCATATGTTCTACACATAGCTCTTTTGTCCTATTTCCCCTTCCGGTTGAATAAGTTTTGCAGGGTTTTTTTTTTAAATAACTCTTGCAAAACCTGATTACAAGAGTGGAATTTGGGATGAATATACATACCACAGGCAGGGCTCCTTTTCAAACCAGCTCTTGGAAAAAGCTATTGTTTGTCTCCAGACCTTTCAGAGACTTCCCTGCAGCCACCACTCCTGATTTACACAGAGTCAGAGCAAGTAAAGTTCAAAGATTACAGGTGATGAGTGTGGAAAAGCTTAGCCTACATAGCCTGTAGCCAGAGTCAAGTCAAGGTCCATTTCTACCTGCCCTTGAAGATCATAATCCTACCTGTGCTTATGTTGGTTTCTTCTTTCTGTACTCGAAGGTAGAAGAAAGAGAGGCAGTTCAATTTCATTACTTCTGAATGGTTACATAAAGATTACAGATTAGACGTTTCCACAGTGGTGTCAGCACAAGGTGGCCATAAAAAGCTGTAATGGCAAAAGAATTGGCAAACAGTCACCACCTGAGGTTCTGATACAGTCTGATACAAATATAGTTGGTAGACTACAGCAAGTATAGTTGGTGGAGAGATTTGGCAGAAAGCTGTTCACCAGTAGAAAAGGATAGGACAGGTGTAAGTATGTTCAGGCTGACTGGTACTTTCCCATCATCCTGCTCAAAACAAACTCATACCTCTCAGTTGCCATATTCTGCTGATAACACTGTGCCCTTGGTGTCGTGGAGAAAGCTCCCCCTTCCAACCTAAACTTCAACATGTCTCTGAAGAAACTTTAAGAGTGCTATTTGTCTTATGGCTTACATATGCCCCACATTTATGGAGTTGCCCATATGGAACTGTGTCTTAACTCAAAAAAGAAATGAAAATTAAATCGTTCTTTTACAAGCAAGTGAACATACAACTGAAAAAATTGTTGTCATGCTTCTTTTCTTTCAGCTTTTATAAGTCTAACTATGTGCAAAGGTTCCATTATTCCAGACCAGTCAGAAAAGGGTCTGTTGACCCTGAAAATGAATTTGCTGTAAGTATCTTTTCAGTAATGCTTTGACAATGACTAGGATTACATACATTAGTCTTTCAGAAAGTTCAACCAGTTGAATTGCTGTCTTACCAGAAGATGAGAAAGCATGCATATAAGAGGCAAGGATGCCTCCATAGCACTGTTAGTTGCAGGGCAATTGGCTCTTCTTGAAGCTGGGTCCTGCTGGGTATGATGGAAGGAATGGGTATGTTTGGACTTGGGAAGAGAAGACCGAGGGGGGATGTGATTACATTTTTTAAGTACTGAAAGGGTCATCACACAGGGAAGGGCTGCATACTGTTCTCTGTCATCCGAGGCATGAAATAACAGGCTTAAGTTACGGGAAGGCAGATGTTCTGTAGAACATCAGGAAAAATATTCCTCATGTTCAGAGCAGTCAGACAATGGAAACAACTTCCTAGGGAGGAGTTGGCTCTCATTGCCAGAAATATCCAAGCAAGGACTGGACATCTGTCTGTCTGTCTGTTGAACTGGATTCCTGGACTCAGCAAGTGGTTGGACTTGAGGGCTGAAATGGCCTCTTCCAGCTCTGTAGTTATAGGCTGGGATTGGTACCTCACTGCCAATCAGAAACCATTGCCACACTCACCTGCTACTCTCGGATAGATTTTGTCCGTCTTGAGCTTCTCCTGACTGTACAGAATGTTCCTACAAGAAAGAAAAGATGGACGTTATGCAGAGAAAGCCCACTCTTTGTCCAGCCAACATTGTATCACCACCCCATAAAATCAGAAGCTGCATTCAGAATTATTATGCTCCAGAGTAGAGAACTTCTGGGAAGATTTTCTGGGCATCAGTTGTTTATTGTTATATTAGTTTCCAGCATTAGTAAAGAGGGTTAAGTATTATTTCATAAAATATCATAAATTGTACAGATTATTAATTTTATCTCCAGTATTATGTGAGGCATTTGGAGTATAACAATGTACGTAATACTCAAGCCAGATGGAAAAATAAATGTTTGGTTAATTAAGTTTTTCCATCAGTGCACCCTGGTTCAAGTCTAGTATTTGTCTACTTGGCTAAATGAAATCCTTTCATGTTTGGGGTTTCTCTTTTTCAGTGAGAGGTTGTATAACAGTGCCTTGGATTAGGTTTGTAAAGACAGCTTCTTGTTTGAGTCTTCAAAACAAAGAAACAAACAGCAATATAATGTTGATGTCAGGAAAATAGGTCCTTCTCATTATTTCAGGTCTTGTTTCCACAGACCCTTAATATTGTAACATTATTTCACCATTGCAATATTTTCTCTGCATTTTAATAGTCAATGTGGATTGAGAGAACATCCTTTGTTACGGCTTACAAACTCCCAGGAATCCTGCGTTGGTTTGAGGTTGTCTCCATGTCACAGGTAAGACATAAGCTCACAGAAATATAAAGTATTCCTAATGCTGTTTACTTCAATGGGAAACTTCCAAAGTTTTATATTACCAATTAATCAATCATCTGTACTTAACAAGATGGAGCAATCTAGCTCTGATTTTTTTCTTTAACATTAGAAATTATTATGAAATGCTAAAGACCTTTTGGGTAAACTGAATTGCAAATGTAGGATTCTCCCAGGTTTTCAGGTGGATTCATTTAATAGACAGGTGAGAAAGTTTTAGATGGAATAAATTTATTCTCTTTATCTCTCCTCACAGACTACAATTAGCCCTCTGGAAAATGCCATTGAAACAATGTCTATGACCAATGAGAAGATTCTGGCAACAATTAATCAGTACCAAAATGATGAGTCCCTTCCTATTAACAATCTGTCGATGCTTCTGAATGGAATTGTGGATCCAGCGGTTATGGGAGGGTTTGCGAAATACGAGACCGTAAGGATTTTAATAGTTCCTTTGAGAGAAACATAAACACTGATTTATAACACAACCCAGAGGCATCTTTGCCTGTCCTGATGTTATGAATAAGGACTATATGGTCTGTTTTCTGCTTGTAGGCTTTCTTCACAGATGAATACATGAGGGACCACTCTGACGATCATGAGAAACTCAACAAGCTCAAAGATCTGATTGCTTGGCAGGTAACATGATGCTGGGCACAAGCCTCAGCTGTCTTTGATCTTCTCTCACCCTCCACCTCACTTATGGATTTTGAAACTGTTGTGGAACAGCCATGGCTGGGTCCACATTCAGGGTGGCTAGAATGCCATGTAGTCTCATCTTAGGCTGGTCTCTACAGGGTGCCCTAATCTGGAGAACAAGCCACCCTGAGAACAAGCCAGGTGGCTTGTCATAGCACCTGAAAAGCTTTATTATTATGGGTTGCCATGATGAGCACGTGGCAAAAGCCAGTCCACTTGGCAAAAAGCAGCAAAAGCTGCTGCTGCTGCTGCTCCCTGCAATTTCATCTGGGCTGCCTCCCACCTCCTTTACAGTGACTGCCCCTCCACCAATACCCAAGGGGCACTTTGAAGCAATGGCACCTTTCTGCCACCCATTTTCTTTCAGCCTCAGACAATTGTGTAAATGTCTTCACAGGTTTTATTATTATTATTGCCTGGCTTTCACACACACACACACACACACACTTATGGCTGAACTCCAAAATGGGGGGCCTTCCCTTGTCAGTGCCCTTGTAAGTTTCAGATGCCAAAAGGAAGGAAGTACAATAAGTATAGGTGGGTGAGGAATTGTTGTGAGCCAGGCTTCTCCCTCCAAGCAATATCAGTCTCACCAGCATTTCTTTGATAATAAGCTTTATCGTTACATTCAAGCCTCTGAGCATACACGGAACAAAGTGCTGAGCCATTTCTGCTGTTCATTATCCGAAACTCTCTTTATGAACCTTATGATCTTGCAGGGGAGGGACTCTGTGTAAGCGGGCATGCCTTTGCTCCACCCGCTGTGCCCCTAACTGGACCTCTCTCTGACGATCACATCTAGCAACCAGGGCTACCTCTTCAGGAGTGGGGAGTTCCCTATTCGAAAAAAATACCCGTTTCAGTGTCCCTTCTTTCAGGCTGCAGCTCCTCCCTACTCCCGCAGTCAGGTTGACTGGTCCCTTTGTCTGCCCTTGGGCCACTTCCCTCATATCTATTTTCTGCAGGCCCTCAGGGCCTTGGACCATGGCTGGGGTTTGAACTTTGGAATCTGAGTTGTCAGTCTCGCCAGAATGGCAGGGCTCCCGTGCACATGCCTGAAATCTGACAGGACACATGTGCCTGACAGGAATCCAATAGCGGGTGAAAATCTGATGGAGTTCCGTGACTTATTGTGCACTGCTAGACTGCAGGTACAGGCCAAGGGTGGGCTGTGGTGAGTCGCATGCCTTGTTGTGGCACAAGCTGAGCCAGCTTGCAGGCTTCTTTCTCTACAATGGGTGGCAGTTTGCACCTTAAAAACAAGCCTAAGGAAATTTTCCTAAACCATGTTATTTGCACCAACTGGATCCTGAGACCTACACTGGAAGTCCACTAGTGGAAGTCCTCTGATTTGTTCCCATATTATATTTTCAGTTTGGTGGGAATGAAACTGTCCTATCATCTTTAAACACACACACACACACACATGTCACAACTCAGGTTGCCATTTTGGGCAACTGTAGATGTTAGAATAGAATAAGTGCACACAAAGCTGCAGCCATTTTAAAACTAAATATAAATGATCAAATAAAATAAAATACAAACAAGGAAACAAATGTGCTACTTTTTCATTTAAAACTAGCATGCATGTTTTTCCAAGAAATCATATGTAGTATACACTTCCAGAATCCCTTCATCCTACACATATGGCTTCTAATAAACATTAATAAACTAGCACAACAGCAGTTCCATAGGCTCTTGTTATAAGGGTTTGCATCAAATCTTTCTGTTTATTTATTATATTTCAATCCACCAGGTAACTAATATTCACTGGACAAATTACAGAGAGTCTTGATGGAAGTCCCTATTGTTTACTGAAAGTATTAGATGCAGTTGTATAGACTCATTGAGACCAAATTATCATTATCATCATCTACATGTTATTTCTGCTGTTCCACAAGGAGGAGGAGGAGGAGAGGCAGATAGTTAAGAAAAGGATACAAAGAAAACTCGTTTCCTTTTGCAGACTTGCTTAAAATATGTTTTAAGGATGAAGGATGGTGCATTGACCCTTGCCAGAAGCAACTAAGTAGACTGCAGAGAATCAAAAGTAAAAAGATAGCACAGGAATGGAAAAGTCCAATGTGCTTGGATTTTGAAATGACCCCTGAACAGATCCTGCACTTTTCAGTAGAGCTGTTCACCAGCTGTTTTATAAAGCAAGGTAGCGAAATAGAGTCCCATGTGGCTGATTTTACACTGTTGCCTGAAGTCTTGAAATAGAGATGAAGACAGAGCAAAGGGGACCCATTCTTCCCCACCCTTGCAAACTCTAAGAATCTAAACAGGCTTCCCCAAACTGTGCCTTCAGATATGTTGGGCTACAATTCCCAGTATCCACAGCCAATGGGACCAAGTTGGGAAGGTTGATCTTAGAAGACTGATAGTGTTGAACTGTAAATGCTTAGACAATAGAAAAGTTTGCATTGTGTCTGTAACCTAACAAATTCCACAGCATGGGGATCCCCAAAAAACTGTCTGTACACTCAGCACACACACAGCTCTTGTATGTGGCCTCTGTTTGATTTGCCAGACAAGAATGGACCATACTAGCAAGTATTCTGGGCATGCATCACAGGACCCTCCATGCATACATTTAAATGTCTCAGAATCATTCCTTTCCCTAGAAAACCTGCATTTTAAAGAAAAATCTTGCTTTTCAGCTTTCCTTGCAGCATGCTGTTTTTCAAAGACTGAGACACCTGGCAGCATCTCAGAAATAATACCATGTTTGCTCAGATTTGGGGGGAACTAGCCCACCTAGGTAGGTGGGGGGAACCAGCAGTGCTCAGCTCTCTGGAAATGTCATTCCTGTGTTCATGTCCTTGTTGAAATGCTTAATGTTGCCTCAAAACTGCATGAGAGATGCAGCATGACAGCAAAGCTTCCCTTTCACAACTTCAGTGTTTATTGCTGCCAGTCTGTTTTTGGGTAAGCACCAGTCACTGACAGAGTCTTCCTTTCCTAGTTGATATATAACTGAAGCACCATTTGCTACGAAAGTTACTGAAACTGCACATGAGAAAAAGTTTGATCCCTGCTAATGAAGTAGGCCTTCGCTTCATTTAGACAAGCAAGGACCGCAGTTGACATCCACAAATAGCAGCTGCTCAATAGATGGTGCAGGGTTCCAGCCTGGCATGGAGGGTGGGAGGCCTTTTATGTTCTGAAGTGATGCTCCTGGAAAAAGATGCAGGTTTAAACTGGCCCCCAATGCACTTTATATTCATTTGGGAGCAGCGCAACATCCATGGCCCAATGCATGCCCCAAGCCAGGTTGCTTCTGCCTCATTTGGAGTAACATGAAGGTCCTTCAGCTCTCTGCTTAGGACTGATAATGGGCTCTGCACCAGACTGGTGACATTGCCAGCGTGGTGTGTGATCATGCAGTTTGCCACAATCCCACAAGAAGCTTCATGGTTGCTGCAAAAGGCCAAGCAGGAGGCAGCAACCATGATGCTGAGAGTGAAGTATAAGCCAGACGTGTTGCATTTTATTTCTGCAGAGGGCCTCTTCAGAAGATTCAGCTGGACTAATGAATTGGCCATGGGAGGCAGCCCTCACGTGACCTTTGCAACACAGGCCAAATGTCTTCTTCCTACACAGGGTCACATGAATCTGCAGGGCAGCAGCATATTTAATCCATTATACTAATTTGGACTAATTATACACATCCTAGTACATTACAGAGTTCAAAGCCAGCCAGTAGACCAAGCACATTGAGTTCTTTTTCTCATTCGGTGTATGAAAAATACATGAAATTTAATAATACAGCTATCCATCTTACCATCTCAAGGAGACAAATAATAGGAAGTTGGGAAACTACTACTTTTTCCAAAAAAGTTTTTTTTTCTTTGCTTCGTGTATTATGTAAAATGTCCTTACAATTTATACTAAGATACCCAACTTGCTACTTTGTGGTTGAAAGAAAGAAGGGAAATGTCTTTTGGCAAATATATTACACTTCTCAGCTCTGTCACTGCACACAGTTTGACATGTTTTCTAAAGATCGGAGAGATAGATAGGATGGCTAAAATCCTTCTATTATTTCTTCCTAGATCCCATTTCTTGGGGCTGGAATTAAGATTCATGAAAGGAGGGTTTCAGATAGCCTTCGTCCTTTCCATGAACGCATGGAGGAGTGTTTCAAGAGCTTGAAAGCCAAAGTGGAAAAACAATATGGGGTCAGAGAATTGGTAAGATTGTTTTTACCCTGGTTTCAATTCACTCTGCTCTCTTAACTAATATTAACTCCCTAAGATGAAAAGCAATGTTGGACCAGTCTACTACAAGGTTTGGCTTGTGATTTAGAGATACTGCAACTTTCTGTAGCAGATCACCTACTTTGTTCCTTAAGACCCTCAGCTTTGCCTGGTGTAAAATTAACCATCTTCAAGTTGGTTGTTTGAAAATTGTTCACATCCCACTTTGTTCAGGAGATAGAGGCATGCCTTATACAAGCATGTCGGCTAGGGCACCAAGCTTCCCCAGATTGTCATTTTATTAGCTTAGTGTTTTGATCCAGACTGACTATCCAGGGCTTCTTGGAGTATTCAAACTGCTTGCAGAACTGGCTTCTGGAATGAGCCCTGTTGAGTATAGTAAAACATGGCTACATTAGCAGAGGATAATATGGTAGTATAGAAAACCTGCAGAAGGAATTAGCCACTCTGTATTTCTGACAGCTGCTGGAGCAAAGCCAATGAAATAGCTGAATAATTAGATAAAATGTTTGATAGCACTGAAAAGAATTTTTTGTGTATGGAATAAAATGTCTGATTTTGCCTGGAATATATTTCCCTCGCATGCTGATTCAGTTTCACTGAAGGAAGGGTTCAAGGCGGTATAATGCAAATGAGAACTATTTGACTATTTTGTATGTATAACTGGACACCTAGGCAACGTTTCCTGAGTTTTGCACCTCACGGGCTTCTTTGTGCACAATTGAGAAGCACAATTGCCCTGAGAGTGGCATTCTTTTGCCACACAGATTAGCTGTCATATCACTGACAATGCAAATAAGAGGAGACCTGCTGAGGCTGCTGCTGGTCATGATCCAGGAGAGAGCACGCTTCTTGTGCTACCTCCATCTCTAACTCAAGGCCTCTCCTTCACAGAAAAAATCAGCATCGTGTTGGTTGAGCAACCAATGTCAGTTTCAGGTCAGTTAAATTGTACCATGGTTGCCCCAGTGACATTGCACTTAGAGATTGGAAAAAAATGGCCAATAACATTGGAATGGTGTTGAAATGGAACTAAACCAATAAGGTATTATTGAGACACAGTGCATAGGGAGCCATGGAATTGCCACACCTGAAAATGGATTAGAAGAGCTTTGAGAGCAAGAAGCTATTGCAATAAAGGAAACTTTGTGAGGTGAGGACCAGGAAGATCATGCATCAGATCTGTAGACTACAACCAATGTCTGCATTTAGTCACCAAAAGTAATTTAAAAAACAAAATTGCAAATGGCATTCAAATCTTGAAAGGTCCACCTATATCTCCACTCTTACTCTGTTTGGATTGGCCAGTGTTCACCATCTCCCTTTTCTGTCTCCAGGATAAGTGATATAAAATTGGGGAAGAAAGGGGGAATGTGTTCAGAAATTCAAGAGACACAAGCAAGTGTATATACATAAATGGAAACCATTTCTATGCCATTGTAAGAGCAGGCAGCTATCAGTGTCTACTGGTTGTGATGGCTGTATATCACCTTCAGTATCAGCAGCTTTGCACTTCTTGAGGGTATGAGTGGCAGGGTCCTATAGCACTCATGTCCTGCTTGTGGGCTTCCCACAGGCAGCAGATTGGCTGCAGAGTGATGGACTGGATCAGCCTTTGGTTTAACTCGACAGGGCTCTTCTTGGGTTTTTGTTATATTCTTAACATTACTTCTAAAACTATTTCCCTCACTATTCCGAGGTGGGAAAAGATGGAGGCAATGAGGCACTCTTAATCACATGGTGTGGACTTGCCCCTTGGTAACAAATTTTTAGAGGTGGTATGGGCTCACATATCAGAAACTGCATCTCAAATCATGCTGTATGGCCCTACAGCATGTGTAAATTAATCAGCTTGGGGGATGGCAGTATTTAGTGTATCAACTAATACATAAGAAAGTCAATTAAGAGTAGACCCATTCCGGTTTGATTATCCCTTTCTGGTTGTCTGATGTGTGTGCTTTCCCTGTGAAAGGCCATTGAGTTGACTGTGCTCAGCCTCTTCAGTAACATTAGATGAAAATAGTGAAGAAGGTGATCTACATTCAACAAAAATACAGCTCAGTTGTGAGCCATACTAGTTAAACAGTGTGTATTATCTACAGACATCTGAAATACTCCTGCCTAGTGGATCTTATCTGAGAATCATGTATTGTTACTCTGCACAGCCTTTGCCTGCCTAATGAAAACTGTTCATCCAACAGGCCTGGCCTTAAGTACCTGCCTTGTTTTCATTTTCAGGTATTGCTTAGACAATAAATCAAAGTACCCCTGCATACCGTGTGACTTATTTTGCAAAGATAGGTAGTATGGGTGACAGTGTTTCTCAAGGAATACCTTAAGAAAAAATGTTCCCTTTCAAGGTCAGGAAAAAGCACAACCAAGAGCGAGGGCTTGAGTTAGTTTGGTATTACTGAACTCTGCAACTTTCATGTCTTGTGCAAACCTTGCATAAACCATGATTTCACCGTTATCTTCTGGCAACATGGTTTATTTAATATGTCATTCATAAAAGTTGCCACTGAGTTTATAGAAAAGGAAAAGAAACCAAGGAAGTCATCCTTCTTGGGGAATTTTCCATTCCTCCTGCTCCAGCTTGTGTTACAAGCGAGGCCCATGCACAGGATGAATGACCCTCCTCTCCCACATTTTTCATGGTGTTTCCTGCTCTATGTTCCCCACCAAGCCGGATTTTGAAGACAGGCGACTCGGTCGGCCAACATCCATGCTGAGATCGTATCGTCAGATGTCTATCATTTCACTGTCCTCCATGAATTCGGAATGTGGAACACCAAACAGGACTACTGCAGAAAGGTTGGTTTTGTCAGCATGGAGAGGGATGGGACAGCGGAGTCTTCCCAGAATGCAAACTGCGGGGAGCCCTTCCATAGTGCAGAGGAGCGCGCTTCCTTTTAAACAGTGTTACGTTTATATTGAGGAACTGCGTGTGAAGGCTTAACTAAGACCGTAAGGACTTGAACCTAGAAGTACTTGTTCTTTTATTATCAAAAAATGCTTTTAAACTGTGCAGTGGCAAACTCTGAGTAACTGGCTATTTATTTATTTCCACGCACTTCCATTTGTATGCCACCTACTAACGAAGTCTCAAGGCAGCTACGTTTTTGAAGACTTGTTCACTCCTGTTCCAATACTTGGAGGCACTTAAGCTGCTTTCAGGTAGAGTCACATTCATGCCGACCAAAAATACAAACTAGGCAGATGATAGCGCCTGTGCTTATTTTAGCAAGAAGACATAAGAGCATGAAAATCTCTTTTCAGGTGTGGATGTTGTATTCTTAGATTATCCTTCCACATATGTTAAGGTCATACTGTGGCTGCTAATTGTGTATCACTGTCCTCAGGTGTAACACCGAACGGTGTCCCGGTCACAGTGATGCCTATTAATGAATAAAACTGATGAATAACTCCTGATGTCCAGGAGCCAGCATATCACCAATGAAGAAACATGTGGTGGAATTTGTAAATAAGACCATTACTGCAAATCTGTTAAGATTCAGTTTGTATAGGTCATAATTCTACCAGAAATACTTGGAGCAAGAGTTTCTCATCCTCTCCCCTCCCCCATCTCTACCCCTTTTTCCCATTAAGTTACCCTCTTCTACCTCAATGTGATATTCAAGCTTATTTTAACTGTGTCCTCTATCTGAACTCTTCCCCACATCCTTTCAGGCAGGATCTCACTTGGATCTTCTAAGTTCGCTTCTTTTTCAATCATTTGTTGTCATTTCTAGTTCAATCTATATTCTTCCAGCTAAATTAATGTTGCTACCCTCCCCGCAAAAAGAGCGGTGTCATGGTAATTTTCCCTCGGCCCTTCTCAGCCTCTTGCGGAATACAGTTTCCGCCCTCCTTGCTCATCTTCATGTGTTTGTGTGTCTGCTTGAGCAAATTCTGAGATGTTTTACATAAGAGGGCTGCACAGAAGCTGATTTCCACACCAGAAGCACCATGGGCAGTGTTATTAAGAGGGTTTTGCCTTGATTTACACCTGCAGTTTTGAACTGGAAGTCATGTCACCAAAGGCAACCAAATCCGAATCTGATGAGAACGTACGCCTGATAAGCTCCCAGCCTGAAGTTAAGTTGAGGAAATGCAGGAAACGAGGAAAGAGAAGCAGTGTCGTGTTTGCAGATGAAAAACCATCTTCTGAACTTCCTGATACGAAATGTGTAAGTTGTTATTATAGTGTGATCCTGAAGTGCAAACTGTCCATTATATTCATATGTTTTCTGTGCAATCGCTCTCTCTCTCTAAAAAAAAAAAATAAAATAAAAAAATGGTTGTTTTATTGCCCAATGTGACAACCAGGTCACTTTGGTAACCGATAGAATTTATAGTTTCCCAGTGGCACATGGAAATGAAGATGCATCACTGAGTTTGGGAATCTGCCCTGAACCAAATGTCTTCCGGGCGAGATTGGTGAGAGCTTTTATTAGTGGCCCAGGGGAAAGGAACTAGCTGCAATTATGTGGTCTCTGGTTCCAGCTGAGCTACATTCAAGAGGAGTAGGTGCTTATTGTGAATCTTGTTAAAGAAAAGCAAATCTTGTTAGGACATTGCAAGTTAGCAGATTGCGCTCTGCAAACAGCGCCAAGCAGAAGACTACATCACTGCCACCTTCTTGCACCGTCTATCATCTGAGCACTTTGATCTTGCTAATATATCTTCAGCCTCGGTTATATAACTTGCACGGCACAATTTTACAACATCATCCCTGAGAACCAAATGTTTTTGAGTATTAAACGAGCAATGTCATTTAGTAGAAATCAAGGAAAAACAGAACAGTTCACTGAAGAAGCCTTGTTTGCCGTTGAGAGGCAGAGCTAAAGAAAGATCAGACTGCACCCCAAATCCTTTAGAAGAAGGGTTGCAAAGTAGATTGCACCGTGTCCCAATGTGAGCTGTGTAAGAACCTATCAAAAGTGTGTCAGCTTTACTCACTCTCCCCATTGGATGTAAATTGCCTCTTTTTGATCACATTAAAAAAAAAACCTCCTAAAGTTCTGTAATCCTAAATACCTGCTTCTGGAGCCTCCTGAGATCAATGTTTAGAACACTGTTTTGGAGACCACGGCAGCATAAATTGTTAAAACACCATTTGTGTCTGCCAAACAGATGCTGAACAGGTTTTGAGGCCTGGGTGGGCCTCTCCCTGATGCCTTCACTGTATAAAGAGATGTGGAATAATGAAGTGAATTTCAAAATTTATTCATTTATTTATTTAAGGCTTTTATAACCTGTCCAGCTACTGACATCTCAGGACAGTTTACGATAAAAGCAGCAAATAAAGCACAGCAGCCAAAACCTCAGTATAATAAACCCAGATTAAAACCAATTAGACGTTAAAATGATGGAAAAATAAAAAGAGTTTTGCCTGAAACAGAAAAAAATATAATGTTGGCACCAAGCAAACCTCTCTGGGGAGCATATTCCATAGTCAGGGTGTCACCACAGAGAAGACCCTCCGCCACATACTCTTCCTCATGACCTCCTTCAAGGAGGGCTCCCAGTGCAGGACCTCCACCTCAGATCTCAAGGGGCAGGAGGGCACAAAGGGAAGGAGGCGCTCCTTTGGGTATCTGGGACTCAAAACATTTAGGGCTTTGTAGGTCATCACCAGCACCTTAAATTGGGCCCAGACTTCAATTGGCAGCCAGGGTAAACAGTAGAGGACCGACATTATAGGTGAATACCTGCTGGTCCCTGTTAACATCCTGGTAGCTCTATTCTTAAGCAAGTGAAGTATCCGGACCACCTTCAAGGGCAGCTCCACACAGAGTACATTGCAATAATCCATCCTGAGATAACTGTAGTTGGACGGTATACAAAAATCTTAAATAAATAAATAAACAAGTAAATCCTGTCAGGGAGTTACCAGAGCATGGGTCCCTGTGGTATTAGGAGCAATGCTTTTCAACCTTTTCATACATGTTTTGGAATCAGGAGTGAGTTGTGAGATGGCCAAGTTTCCTGATGATGCCATTTTTGAAAAACAAAACAAAACGGTCTCTCCAAGCTAGAAGAATGGACATTGAAATGGCAAATGCAGTTCAATATAAGCAAGCGTAGAGTAATGCAGGCTGGGGCAGAGAGGACACACTGGTGGGATTGAACCAGCAGTGGCTAAGCAAGAACAGTAGTGGTGGGCATCTCAATGGAAATGCTGGCCCAATGCTCGGCTGCTGTGAAGGAGGCAAACTCCATGCTGGGCTTAATTAGAAATGGAATAGAAAATAGAACTGTCAAAATATTTCTTCCCTTGTATAAATCTGTGGTGCGACCACACTTGGAATAATGTGTGCAGTTCTGGTTGTCTTACTTGAAAAAGGACATTGTTGAGTTGGAAAAAGTGCAGGGAAGGGCAACAAAAATGATCCGGGGACTGGAGCAATTCTTCTATGAGCAGCTATGACCCCTGGGACTGTTCTACCTAGAATAAAGGCGAGGAAAGGGAGACATGATGCAGGTGTTTAAAATATAGTACAGTGTGGAGAAAGTGGAGAGGAAGGGATTTTCCTCCCTCATCCATAACACTCGAACCTGAGGCCATCGCATGAGGCTAATGGGTGGGAGGTTTGAGGCAGATCAAAGGAAGTACTTTTTCGCTCACTGTATACTTAAACTGTTTAAGCATGTGACAGGAACCAACACTAGAGATGTATGTGTGTATATATTTATAGCTTTTATATCCCACCCTTCACTATGTTTCAGGGCTGTAAAGCAATAAAATAAAGTGAGGTATAGCGATATTACAATAAATAATATTTGCACACTGAGTGAAAGAAATACATCCTTTTTTTTGTAAATCTGGAGTGTGGATGCAATTAAAGAAAATGAGTTTGATAGTTCAAAGATGTAGATTATCATCCTTTGTGATTGGTAGCATTTGTAAATAATGAAATTGGCATTTCTTTTCTTAGGCAGCAGAAAAAATAAAAGGATCCCGAAAACTCACTTGTCTGTGCCCTTGGACACATCTCAATAGCTTCAAGAGAACTTTTGTAGATGTTCCCAATGGACTGTGGTCTTAAGTACAGCTCACATTATATTGAACTCAGCAGAAGAATTATTGATTATGATGTCCTTAGATGTCAGTGAAATGAATGTTTGTTTTACTGACGTTTGCTTATCAAACATCTGTTTGCTTATCAGATGAAATATTCTGCATTCTCCTGGATTAGCCAAAAGCAGTTTTATATGTGAGGAACCAAAGTGCAGGAACAGTCCCTTCCAAGAGGTGAGCAAACATAAACAACATGTTTTCCCACCTATTGGAAGGTGGAAAAAAATGACAACACAGTTAAGACACACAACCTGGGTGTAATAATGTTACAGCAAAACTACAGGAGAAGGCTTGTGTATTGAAAAGAATCACTGCCAGAAAAAAAGATAAAAAGGAAGTTCCAGAAGTTCCCATCAGCTCTTTTCCTGTATTAATTTACCCCATCTGTATTCTTTCATAAAACGGTTAAAATGCAATGTTCTGAGCCTAAGCAGTATGGCATTTTTGTCACTGCACAGCTGCCAAGAAAATATGAATTTATGAGTGACACCAACCTTTCTGAACATCTGGATGTTCCTCAGAAAACATCTGTTCTCAAACAAATGAGCTTTGCCAGCCGTTCTATGCCAACTATACCAGGTAAGCCAATTAGAATAAAAGAATGAAAGCTTTGCACTTTGGGTCTGACACTAATTTAAACAATAAAAAATTTGGCTTCTGCTGTTCAGAGACACGAAGACAACAAAGCAGCATGCCTTCATGTTCCAGAACCAAAATGGTGACGGTTATTATAGAAGTGGCTTAGCATCTGCTGGACCCAAAGCAAGTGGGCTGATGCAGGCTCAGCTAATAAATTAGGCAAGATTATCAACGTATTTAAGAAGCCCTGCCACTCTGAACCATAGCCGCTGTTTTACCCAGTATCTGTGTGTATCTCAAGGGACTCTTCAGAGTCTTCAGATCGGTACTGCCTGTTTTCCCACCTCAGGAGTGGTGCTGATTTCATGTGAGTTTTCACACACCTGCAATACCAAGGAAAGGCATGGGTTAGGGACAGAAACGATTTGCTCACGTTGCTGTGCAGTTGCTGTTGCTGCAGGGAAGGCAGATCTGTGGTGCAGCATGGGAGAGGCAGGGAGGGAGGCAGGATGCCTGGGCATCTCTTCAGAGAGGCGGTATTTCACACCCGAGAAATGCCATGATGGGGCCTGGCAGGCTGCTTCTGCCACTTCCCAGTACCCCCTTGATGAATGAGTGCTCTTCCGTGGTCAACTCCTGCCTCTCTCTGTCTCTCTCCCAGTTATATACGAGGTAAATATCAAACACATGGGGTTTTCTGTAACAGAGTAGGAGAAAGCCATACCCTCTCATCGCACCTGATTTGGCGAGAGCAAGCCCTACATATAAATATACTTCTGACAACAGGTGTTTCCATAAGGACCCTTCGGTGCAATGGCAACCTGATCAGTCAACCTTCCTTTGTACTTCTGCCTGGAACCGATGCCCTAAGCATCATATGTCTCTTCTTTTGAACGGCTGCCACATGAGTCCAGGCATTGCTGGGTGAAAAGCTCTACAGGCCAGACAGGACAATCAGATCCATTGCAGTCTAAATTTAACCCCAAGATTTATCTTTGAGAGTTAATTGACTTGGTCCCTGCCTCATCACTTTATTATAAACATTTGCACTGTTTTAAAGGATTAACTCTGTCAGTGTGCTGCCCAGCACCCGAGGAAACAAATGCATCACAGAGGATCAGCCAGGCAAGCATCCCTCCCATCTTGGAAGTCGACAGGAGAACCCTGAAAAAGAAGAAAATGAACCAGATCTTCAAGACAATAGTACGTGATGGTACTTCATTTCAGTGTAGAACAAACGATACAGCTGAATAGTGGTGTCCCCACCATGTGCTCATGTGATTTCATGCTGCATCCCCTCCTGGATTTTGTTAAACAGATTCTCTAGCTTAGCTTTTGCCCAATACGTGGAACATATGAGCACAAGCAAATGAGGCACAGCCTGAAAAACACTCAGTGAGGAAATGCCTCTTCCCAGTGCATCTCTCATATTTCCCTGCTCTGTGCACACAGCATGCCCCAACGCAGCAATCTGTATATTACGTTAACACAGGAACTCCCGTTCAGCCTTCGCCTGTTCTCTGCCCTGATCTATGTGCCAATTCATCCTGTAAAATTAGGATGCCTTGCTTTTTATTCCGTGGCAGGTGGGCGACCACAGCAGCACATCAGCAATACAGACAGAGCCCTTTCTTGCTTGCTTGCTTCATGACGCCAGTCAGGCAATGGGACGCTCGTTACGTTGTAGCATGTTCCCTGCCACTCGTGTGGTGTCTCTGAAACCCAAGTCATTTGAGCGGTGCACGTACCTAAACAGCAATTCCCAGCAGAGAACGGAGGAGGCAGATCTGAGGCTCAGAAAGCCTCAAAGAAAATGTCTCCCATAGGAATTCGCGAAGAAGTTAACAATGCTGCATTTCCTGCACAGCCTTAGGCAAAACTCCCAACAATTCCAATGGCGGTGCATCTTGATTTTTAAAGCAGCGTACACTGTTAGAACTGGCATACTTGGATTTAAAGGTGATAAGAACAAAAGCTTCCCAAAGTCGCCTTATAACGACCTCTGACTTTGAAGGTGTTGCTTATTTGTTTTAACAGCAAAAGACAAAACAAAGAAATGCCTTCGCTACAACTGGGATACCAGTATTTATAGTGATGACAAATTATGCCATTTCATGCACATTTGGCAGCATCCAGTGGGGCACAGCCACTGACATAAATTATGTGGTGCTCACATTAGCTCCTCCCTCGCGAGTCTGAACACTCGGGTTGAAAGAAATAATGTTTCCTCTGCCACCAACAGGGGCTTTTCCCCTGGCGCTGCAGGAGTGTGCCAGCCAGAAGGCGTCTTTCCAGTTATGCAAGGGAGGCAGTAGGAGCCAAGGCTCCTTGTCCTAATCATGCCTATCCCTGATAAGAGCCAAACCAAAGCTTGGGTGAGGGATGCGCAGCCCGTTGCCCACAGGCACTCCCTGGCGCAGCTTGCAAGGCCAGTGGGGGAGCACCTGTGTTTCCTTGAACCTCAGCTTCGAATTGGGAAGGATACACTGTCCCAACAAGGCTATTAGCATGACTAGTTATTGCCAGCAGGTGGGAAAGGTAGAAGGTTCTCCCAAAGCCCACCAAAGATCGTGCTTCTAAGCTTGCTGCTCCTCACCACTATCAGCGGTGGGAAAACAGCAGCTTCAGTGGTGGTCAGCCAGGGATTAGAAAGGCTGGCATCCTCATACACGTGCATCCCAACAGTCCCTACATCTCACTGGGCAGGAGGAGTCCCAGTCACTGGGCACTGTGTGTGTGTGTGTGTGTGCGCATGGGTACACACACCCGTGCATGCCCTGTCCAATACTGGAAGCAGTCCCTGAGGGCTGAAAAGGCTGTCCACCCCTGAAGCAGGTGCTGCTACTTCAATCAGCAAATTGGGCATACATATTTTGATTTCGTTAGGCATATTTGCAAGAATCTGTCTCTCCAAAGCAAGAGTGTAACCTGAATGCAGTGGAGCTATCTTGAAGCTGTTACACTGAATACTGCCACTCCTAATAGGATGATGTCAGGAGGGTGTACAGTATGAGTATCATCATTGTGGCTGTGGCCACATTTCTAGCTCCTCCTTCATCTTACTACATGTTGAATTTGGGAGACGTGTAACCCCCTTCTTTGTGTTGGTAGATTGCTATGGTAGCACCTGCCCTGATAGCAGTGGAAGACACTGGAATAGCTGATGGCCTCCAAACTCAATGGATTCGACTATCGGCATTGCTCAGCTTCCTCTCCCAAATTAGCAACATGGTCAAAGACATTCTTAGCTATGGTTTCTCCTAGTGCAGCGTTGCTGGACTGATGAGTTCAGATCAGTGGTGACAAAATCTCTTGTTTTTCTGAGAGGGAAGGCAGGCTGCCTTCAATCACAAGCCCTGCCCTCCAGAGCTGATGCCATTCTGGGGAAAAGTGATACGTGAAACTTCTGGAACACGGCTGACACATGGCTGAGCCTCAGCAGAGTCTTCATGAAAATTAGCTATGCCTTCCCCAGTTCTAGCAGAGAAGGGGACAGTGCGATGGAAACCCCTCCCCCCCACACACACGCTGTAGCAGCCACACTCAAAGTACCTTGAGATTATGTTAGTCGCCTTTGGAATTTTGTACAGAAAGACAGTTTATTCATTTACTTTTATTTCATTTGTGAAAACACAATAGCCACTGAAGTGGGAGGAAAGCATTAGAACAATTTGGCCTATACAGGCTCTAACAGAAACTGCTGAATTTTAGCATGGATTCAGTATTAATAGTGGAATTTAATGTGCATGTCTCTACTCTGTATGTTTAAAGCAAGATCACTGGGGAAAGCAATACATTGACATCAATTTTTCCCATTTGTATACAGTACAAGCCCAAGCAGTCTGAAGACATGAAACACACCAGTGAGCGGCAGTCTGATTTATTGGACCTGTGAAGAAATTCCATAAATTGAGAAAGCTCATTTCCTAGCAAATGGGGGGAAAAGAAACATTCAAAATCTGGGAATGTGGACTGGCTTAGGAGAACTTTCCTAATACGTACAAATCATTTGCAGAATCTTCTGTTTTAATCCAAGCATCACAAAAATGTTCATTGTTGTATTCCTAAATCCAGAACTCAGGGTGCAGTTGGAAATTGTAACATTAGGGAGCAGTTGTTAATGTGTGGATGCTAATCTGTGTTGTTAATCCATTCAGAAACTCTGCCTTCCAAGAATCCTATGTCTGTGGGAGGATATTTGCGTGTGTACCTGTCACTGTGCATAGAACATAATGTGTTATTGATGACATGCACCCAACCCAATTTCTGCGACCTGCAGCATTTCATTGCCTCTTCATATTAAACACAGGGTGGCAAAACGCCCCTGCTTTTGTACCCTCCTACACATTTGGGTTCCTGAAAGGCTGACTTTGTCAACTAGGTCTTAGTGAGCTCATTGATCCACTAAACTTTCAATTACTGTACTCATGCTTTTAAAAAATTAAAATAAAGCAGAGGCTTGCTTAATTCTATGGAAATGCTCAAAGACATAGTTTTCTTAGTATATATTTGATTTCACTCCCACCCCTAATAATGACTTTTTTGGACTTGAAAAGATTTTTTTTTCAAAGCCTTGTCTGTATAAAAAATCCTCTGCACTGCAATTCTATATAAGTTTACTCAGAAGTAAATTCTATTGTATTCAGGGGCGCTTACTTCCAGGGTAGTGTGGATACATCTGGACCCCTATCCCTTTTCTGTGCAGCAGCTCTATACAATGTACTTCCTGTAATTTAGCAGTTAAATGTAAAATGTTTTCTCCCATTTTCTCTGAATCATCATTCCTGGAATTTCTCCAAATCCTTCTCTGTGCAGCATATTAATCTTCTCTTACTGACAATAGAGGTAACTCCCGCTACTCTGCAAGTATAATTGAGTTTCTTGTTTCTCTGACATGCATAAGATATTTGTTCATTCAGTTTGTTTGCACCATGCTTTTCCTGCCCCAAATAGAGCCCAAAGAGGCCAAGATGATACAAAAAGCAAAGACAGTAATTTCAAAAGAAACATGTGAAGAACTGGTCAAAAATACAATGAACAACTACACTTCAGCTCAGTCCTAAAGAAGACAGAAATTCAGTTAACAAACAATGTATACACAGTATATGTAAATAAGAAACAATTCATAAGGAATATGTGAGTAAGCCACATGGGGATACAGCCTGTATTTTATCCGATCCAGCAGCTGGAATACTTGAAGAAGCCAAGAGAAGGAGGAGGGATAACAGATCAATACAGAAAAGCACAGGAGACAAAGAACCTCCAGCCCCTTTCATGTCAAATCTGCCTTCTCAGCACAGGTTACTGCAGAGACAGAAAAACGGGAAGCAGCCCACATCACTCTGCCAACACCTTGTCTCCAGCTGTAACTTCATAGCTCTGCCTGCAGCATCCTTACAAAACGGCCTTGGCGTGCTCTATCCATGTTGCAGGAGGCGGTTGGCCCAAGGAGTCTCAGGTGCTCCTCTGGCAGGATGGTTCTGGCAAGCCTGCAGGTCGCCGCGAGGGCACCAGAAAGCTGGACTGGGTGGCAAATGACACAGGCTCTCATTCTGCTCCTTAACTGCCACTTCTGCTGTAAGAGCTGCCAGCTTGTGCTTATGACTTTTTTAGCCAGGTCTGGAGAGTGCTCACAGGGTTGATCCTTCCTTCCTTCCTTCCTTCCTTCCTTCCTTCCTTCCTTCCTTCCTTCCTTCCTTCCTTCCATCCAGTGCCATACTGCAAGTGTTTTAAACCTTTATTTTATAACCTCCCCATTGTTTTAGAAGTCAAGAAATGCATATTAATTTTTTAGCTTCCTATAAAGTTTCTCCACTTCACTGTGTCAAATATCCATTTCCCTGTTCTGTTTCATAGAATTCATAGATTGGTAGAAGAGTAGGGTAGGAAGGGGCCGAGAAGGCCACTGGGTCCAATCCCCTGTTGGTGCAGGATGCCAAGTCACACCATCCCACTCAGAGGACTGTCCAGTTTTGCCTTGAATGTGTCTGGTGTGGGAGAGCCCACAGCCTCTCTTGGCAACAGCTTCCATTGTTGTATTGTTCTGAGAGTGAGGAACTTTTTCCTGGCATCTAGCCTGAATCTGGTGTACTGCAGTTTAAGTTCATTGTTCCGTGTCCTACACTCAGGGATGAGTGAGAAGAGGTCTTTTCCTTCTTTGTGACAGGTTCTGAGGTACTTGTAGGGTACTATCATAATTCCTTGTATCTTCTCTTCTTGAGGCGAAACATGCTCAGCTCTCTCAGCCTCCCATTGTAGGGCTTAGTTTCCAGACCCTGGATAATCTTGGTTGCCTAGCTGTGAACCCTTTCTAGTTTTTCTGCATCTTTTAAAAACCTGGGTACCCAGAAACAAACACAGTATTCCAGGTAAGGTCTGACAAGTGTTAGGTAAAGGAGAATTAGTACCTGCCTTGTCCTGGAAGTGCTGCTCCTATTTATGTGTCCCAAAATAGTGTTAGCCCTTTTTATGGCTAAATCACATTGCAGGTTAATGTTTAGTTTGTTGTCCACAACAACTCCAAGGTCTTTTTCAGTGCTGTTTAGCTGAGTATTCCCCATCTTGGATTGATGCAGCTTTGTGGCCTGCTTATACTTGTGTTTTGTGGCCTGGCCTCCCTTGCATTTCCTGTACATGTCCTTTTTGCTCTCAGTTTGTCTCTTAGCTTTTTTGTGGAGCCATGAGGGCTTCCTCTGTTGCACTTGTTATTTTGTTGGATTTAGTTGTTGTACTTTGAGAATTTCTTTTTTTAAAGATTCCACATCCTCCTTGGTCTCCTTTTCTCTTTAGAGTGAGTTGCCAGGGGATTTTACTTATCATTGACTTGAATGTATTAAATTTGGCTCTCCTGAAGTCTAGGGTATGTGTTTGGCTACAGGTGGCTCTTGCCATCTTCATAATTGAGAATTCAAGAACGACATGGTCATTGTCCCACATGGTTATTGCTCTGTCCTCCAGATCTTCCCTGCTGGTAAATATAAGGTTGAGTGTAGCTGTTGTTCTTGTCCTTTCCTCCACCTTCTGCCGGAGGAAGTTACTGATAACACAAGTCAGAAATCCCTTGAAGGGGCCATGTTTGGCAGAATACGTCTCCCAGAAAACACCAGGGAAGCTGAAGTCTCCCGTGATGACTGCATCATGCTTCCTTGCAATGCTGGCAATTTGTTTTTCAAAGATAACGCGTTTGTCCTCTCTTTGATTGGATGGTTAGCAATAGACACCAATGACCGCACTCCTTTTATTTTTTGTCCCACTTAACACGGCCCAGATGCATTTGATGTGACTACTTAGCTTCTCCTGGCATTGCAGTTGTGAGTGTTTTTAATGCATAATGTGACTCCACGTTCTTTTTCATCCTTTCTGTTTTTCCTGAAGAGGATGTATTCCTGGATGCTCTGTCAACATAACCAATTGGGGCCTTTAAATAGAGTTTTCAGTTGTCTTCTTTAAGGTGAACAATGGAATTTCCATTTGTATTATGTAGAAGGAACAGTGTCCCCAAAAGCCAATTTGCTCCTCATAACTAATGTTCTGCTGTCAGGGGAACTCTGACGTAGGGACAGTTCAGGATCAAGCACAATCCCCCTTCTATTGCTTGGATCATTTATCCAGCACCAGCAGCTACCTAACCTGGACTCTGATGCTGCAACCAGAGGTACAGGTAGCTTCTGGAGCCACCAAAGAGGGGCCATCATATATGATCGTGTAGTGGGACCTAAGTTTGGAAGAACTGTTTCTAGAATACACGAGCTACAGTATGTGCTCCTGGCAGAAGACCACCAAGTCATTTGTAGATTAGCAGAATTGTTTCTGAAATCTTCTCAGAACATCTGATTGATTTCACAGGACATATTGTGGAGCATAACTACCTTGCACAGTGTATTCCATCATCCAGGCGGTGTCCTTGAAAATGGTTTTTCTTCCTGAAAGGTTAGATGAGGAAAGACTACATCATTCAACAAAAACCAATGATCTTCCTGGTGCTTTGATAGGCATTGAAATAAGCAAGCTAAACTCTGGAAAAGTTGTGATGGTCATAAAATGATTTTAATTAGAAGGATGGTGAACTGTCTTTACTACTTGCACTGGTATATTTTCTTCCATAGTTCCTTTGCTCATCCTTATGTGGCTGTTCTCAAGCTTATATGAGCCAGAGGAACAAATCAAAGCAAAAATAATTGGACAGACTTAGTTCAGTTCTTCTGATACAATGTTGAGAAATGCCCCCAAATCCTCATCTCTGGAATTGACTGTCTCCAGTTGGTAAAAATAATATTTTGATAATGATGATTATTTTTGTTGCAGCTGTAAACATACTGGGATTCTGTAAGTCTTGATATTGCATTGAGTGTCCATTGAGTACCAATAAAGAAAAGCTGCCATTCTGCAGTCTCTGTTACCAAACATCACACTTCCTATTTGCATGTGAATGATGATCTCATGCTTACAGCTCGGTGCAGCAAGATCAGATGCTGTAACACGTACAGAGTTTTCACACAAGTGAATCATGCTGACACTATGAAGTGCAGAATGAATAAGTTATTTCCCCTCATAATCAAATTTGGTAAGCGCTATTCATGGCTTCATGCTAATTGTTTAATACACATGCTTTGCAAAAGTCCATGAATAACGATATCACATAATGTAGCTGTTAAAATATTCACACAGATGCCAAGTTGAAGACAATTAAGTTCATTCCTTACTGGAAAAGTTGCATATTTTTGTTGTACTTGCTTAGCAGCAATAGCTGCTGCTTCCTCTTCCTCTTCCTCTTCCTCTTCCTCAGTTTTGCATCCACTGAAACTGGCTTGGGAATGTATGGTATTCTACGTGAAAATAAACTAAAGACCCCTGAATTGGCCCTGTGTCCACATAATTTGTTGTGATTATTCTTTATGAACAAGATGTAATTAAGATACTATTAAAATTGTATTTTACTTCAGTGTGCATATAGGAAGCCAACAGAAGCACATCATGTATCTGTTAGGCAAAACCAGCTCAATTCCCATGTGCTTGTTCCAGGGCATCACTTGGCAGGACTCCACCCACAAAGGAGCTCTAAGAAGAACAGTGTAATCACTTACTCATCGGGCAATCCTGTGCAAGTTCATTCAGAAGCGAGTCCCCCTGTGTGCTCAGTACGCGTATTTCCCCTGTTTTGAATTGTGCTATTCTGGGGATGGAGCAGGCGTCCTTCTGCAGCTGATTAGTCTTTACAAATAGCCTTCCCTCTGCATTTCAAGGAAAGCAGAATTTACAAGATCTCCAGCCCCCTCTCTGCAAAGCTTGCAAACCCAGCAAAGGCATACATGCATTGCACTAAGAATCTTGCATGAGCTGCTTTGTACTGAGTCAGACATCTGGTCCATCTGCCAGAATATCGCCTACACTTTGGTAGCAGTTCTTTGGGCTTTCAGAAGGGTGTTTCCGGGCCCTAATGGAGATGCCAAGCGCTGAATCTCATCTCCCACAGGCAAGCATATGCTCTGACACAGAGCTGCGGCACCTCCCTTGGCAAGTGCAAATTCCATGGCTATAATGATACTGTTGCAATACAGAACAATCCAATTACTATCTGGAGTGAAGTACTAATTAACACAAGCAGCACAGCACTCTCAAAGGACTGTGATCATGGGCAATATGGTGCAATGCTAGAGGAAAGAGGTGTTCTCATCTAAGCCCAGCCTCAGGCCTTCCTGAGGCCCTCTTGCTGTAGAGAGTATGAATGTGACCTGCCAGGAAGGAAGCCACACACAGCTGAAACGCTTCTCCAGATACTGGAGGTGCCTCCAGGCCACCCAGAAAGCAGAAATGTGGTTTTCACCTAGACAAAGAGCTAGGATATGTGAATTTAACAAGTGGAACTAGAGTAGTGTGAGGAATCCATTTTGGGGCTGGGAAACCATTGGATTCCCTGGGCTTGGCTTCCTGGACTCCAGCCTAATTTTCCAATTTTGGGGTTCTCACTTCCTGGAGAGTCCCCAGATGGTTTCCTAAGGGCTGAACCTGAGAGGAAGTCTCCGCAGTCTGAGGAGGGGCAGATTCTGCAGTGCTCTATCCCAACACTAGCCGGAACATGAAGCACACAGCAAGTCTAGCTACACACAACATATAATTTTGAGATGTTCTTGTTCCGTCAGCTGTTCATGTAGAGATTTCCAGGAGACGCTTGAAAAGTTAAGTCCATGCTTGCTTCCTTTCCTAGTTTATAACAGCAAACCAAGCTCTGCTTCTACTCTGACCGGTGGAATAGCTCTTCGATTTGTGTCACGCAGAGCAGTGATGCAGAGAAACGCTGGTGTTCCGTAATGCTTAAGACGCAATTATGCAGAGGGTGGCACTGTGTAAAACTCCTGAAAGGAGGCAGAGACAGAAAAGATACATGGGTGACGCTTTTCAAAAACTAGTCCTAAAAGATCCATCACTTTTAAAGGCAATTTCAGCCCCAGGCAGCAATGGATTAATGCATGGAAAAAGCACAGTTACAGAGACCAGCCTGAAGAATCCTTTGAAGTTTGTCAAATATTACTTATTTATTTGATTTCTAACCTGCCTCATTTGCCTTACTGCTCCCTGGATGGGTTACAATAACAAAACACAAAATAAAATACAGAATAGAATAAAATGCAGAGTAAAATGCAATATAAAACAGCAATTACAAATTTAAAAATACATTAAAACCAATATAAGATGCACAAAACTGATGACATACCCACAGTTAAAATGCTACTTAAGACCAGTTAACAATTTAAAAATTGTCAAAATAATAACAGTTTTTCACCTGGCTCCTAAAATAATGTAAAGAAGGTGCCAGACGAACTTCTCTGGGGAGCTCTTTCCAGAGTTGGGGTGCAGAAAAGGTCCTTCATCCTGAGGAGGGGTTTCCTTCAGAAGTCCCTCCAATGCAGATCTAAGGTGCTGGGTAGGTTCTTATGGGAAGAGGTGCTCCTTTAGACACCCTGGCCCCAAGCCATATAGGGCTTTAAACAGCAGTGTTAACGCCTTCAATTGAGCCTGGACCTCCACTGGGAGCCAGTGAAGAAGGCAAAGAACTGGCTTTATATGATTGTATCTGCCAGTCCTTGTTAACAATCTGATTACACTATTCTGGATCAACTGAAGTTTCTGGACTGTCTTAAGGGAAACTTCATGCAGACCATGTTGCAATAATCCAGACAAGAGGTTACCAGTGCATAGATAACTGTTGCCTGTCCAGATATGGCCACAGCCAGAATATCAGCTCAAACTGATAGGAAGTGCTCCTGGCCACTGAATCCACCTGGGATTCCAGGGATAATTCGGGGTCCAGGAGCATCCCCCACGCTGCGAACCCTGTCTTTTAGGGCGAGCGCAATCTCATCCCGGACAGGCAAGGTGTCACCCATCTGAACAGACACACTGTCCCCACCCACAGTATCTCCATCTCGTCTGGATTAAGACTCCGTTTACTAGCATCCAATCCATTATCTAGGCCAGGCCCCGATTCAGAACATCCACTGTCACACCTGCATGCAGTGAAAAAGAAAGGTAGAGTTGAGTGTCATCAGCATACTGATGACAATTCAGTCCACACCTTCTGATGACTTCAGCCAGCAGTTTCAGGTACATGTTAAAAAGCATGGGGGATAAAACAGCCCTAGGGAACTCCGGCCCTGTGGAGCAGAGCAATAATCCCCCAGCACCACCTGCTGGACATGGCCAGTCAAGTAGGAGCAGGACCACCGCAAAGCAGTGCCCCCTGCTCCCAGCTTGACTAGCCTGTCCAGAAGGATACCGTGGTTGATGGTACCGAAAGCCACTGAGAGGTCCAGAAGAACCAATAGGGCCATTCTCACCCTGTCGCTCACCTGGCATAGGTCATCCCACAGGGAAACCAAGACAGTATTTGTTCTGAATCCAGGTCTGAATCCCAGCTGAAATGGATCAAGATGGTCTGTTTCATCCAAGAGTGTCTGGAGTTGGTCAACCACCACCCGCTCAAACACCTTGCCCAAGAAGGGGATGTTAGCTACTGGTCTATAATTGCTCACGTCCCCTGGGCCCAAGTTGGCCTTTTTCAGGAGTGGTCTAATAACAGCCTCTTTCAACAAGGCCAGGACCATTCCCTCTCTTAAGGAGGCCTTCACAGCTCATCCCCTCTTTGCATGACCAGCCATGATGGGCAAGGGTCAAACATACACGTACCTTGTCCACATCCTCCGGCCTCAACAACTGAAACTCATCCAATAAACCTGGACCAGACGGTGCACTGGACACCTCAGCCAGAGGAATTGCATCAACCATGGAGTCCAACTCCTCATGGAGTTGCTGTGCAAATTCCTCTCAGAGGCCCACTGAGGTGTCCACCATTTCTTTCACAGGGCCAGTTTGTAACAGCCCCTGAACCATTCAGAACAGGCCTGCTGGATGGCACTGAAAGGATGCAAGGGAGGCGGAAAAATAAACTTTCTTTGCCACCTTCACCATGCCACAGCATAAGCTCGATAATGAGCTCTAAGCCATAGGCAGAATGCAAGGTGCTAAATCAAACAAGTCACGGGGTGCCAACTAAAGTGGCAAGCAACAGGCTTCTAACCGTCTTCCTACATTCTGCCTTGGGAGAATGGGAAAACCGGAAAGCAACAACACTGAGTTTGTGGAACAGGGATTGTTATCCCAAATTCTTCCCCCATTCCAGCTGAATGACAATCTACCTTCATCTTACCACCTGCTAGAAGCTTCACCTTCTAAGTCAGTGGGGTCCTTGAGAGGTTCTTGAACTCAGCAGGACCAAATGGTAAAAGTTTTTGTTGATTGCACTGTATCACTTAGCAGTGACAGATCACTCCTGGTAAAAGGATAAAGATCGTTTCCCTTTTCAGAGCACCTTTAGAATGACTGGGCTGTTTTACATGTGTCAAGTAACTAATTCAGGCTAAATGTAAATGTGCATGCTGTGACAGATCCAGGCTTGTCGCTGGCTGTGCATTGACTTTTTAGACGTTGTGTTTTCAACCAGCTTCAGACCTGAAGAACAGTGTACAAGTGCATCAGCACTGCGTATATTTGGGGAATAGCCATTTGTATACTAGAGAATACCTTTCCACCTTGCATCCCCAGATGTCTTTAGATATGGGGTGCTGTTTGTCCTTGGCTGGTAGGTGCTTTGGCCTCTAAATAGCTCAACACTCTGAGTCTGCACATCACACTCAGCACCTGAGTGGATCTTTTCATACAGCTTCCATATAGCCTGAGGTGCCAGATCCAGTCTAATCTTGGAAGCTAAGCAAGGTCTTCCCAGGTTAGAATCTGGATGGTGAACTAACAGTATGACTCTATGATCATTGCTGTAAACAGACCACAGAGCTTCAGCTATAGGTGGTATAAAAAGTAGTAATAATCATAAGTGATTGATTTAAAATGGAAAGAGGTGGACAGGACCCAGCTCCTCATTCATTGGGGTGGTTTAACCCATAAGATGTCCTTAGCAGGTCATTATGTGGCCTCCTTCAATACATTTCCTTTCTTATACTCACATGCAAGGGAATTACGTCTCGGAATGATACGTGTGTCTGTTTTCTGCTGGGTCCATTATTTAAAAAGTCAAAGGAAAGCCAACCAAGCCTTCAGGGATAGTCTTATAGCTTGTGGGTTCACCTATGACTGTTTTCACACTGGTTGCTTTAATAGCTTCTTGCATTTACATTGTAATTCAAATGTAAAACCTATCTTGGCTTCTTCCTCTGTTTGTATTATGTGCTAGCAACATTGACATGTCATACGGACAATTGTTCTCAGTATCATTTGTGAAAGCACCTTCAATTGAATAGATTGTTGATTTAGAAATAAATATCTGTGCAGCTGTGCAAACATGCAAGCGGTTTCTGAGAACCT